GGGCCTATAATGCCATGCGCTGACATAGCCGCCCAAACTGTCACTTTAGGGCTATGTAAGGGCTTTTGATGTTTGCGATTTGGATTTTCGCAACTCCAGTAGCGACAATTTTGCTTATTGACATGGCCATTGATGTGAAAGTGAGCCTCATCAGAGAATAACACGTTATTAAACGAAGTAAAGCGGTTCAACATTTCATTTGTGAAATTTAGTCTGTGGATAGTGTCAGTATCTTTTAATTCCTGTACTAACTGAATCTTGTACGGGTGAAGATGTAAATCTTTCTTTAAAATTCGCTGTAACGATGATCTGGGTAAGTTTAATGCACTGGAACGCTTACGAGTAGACTGGGTAGGATTTTCACGAATTGAGTGTTTCACTACATCGATGTTTTCTTCCGTCCGTGATGTCCTTGGTCGACCTGACCGTTGTTTATCCAACGTCGAACCACTCTCTTCGAACTTAATAACCCAGTTCTTAATCGTTTGAACACTTGGAATATCTTTAAAGTTGCGTAAATTCTGATATTCTCGAAATTTACGCCGCGCAATGGTAGCCGAATCATTGTTTCGATAAAACTCGCGCACACAAAATGCACGGTCCGCACCGGTGAAACGCTCCATGGCGATTGAATTCCCAGAAACCGTCGGTACTCCCCCCGCACCGCTCGCGCCACTCATGCGCGCCTTTTGTATTTTATTCGAAATTTACATTTCTAACGACTTATGGGCCACCTGGTATTAAAGAACCATTGTCAAAGGATATCTCTTAATAAATAAATAAAAAATATAAAACTGTTAACTATTAAGGGCAAATCGTGTTACAAACATTAAAAAAAATGTACTTAAAAGAAAATGCAGCCAAGTTCATAACTTCCTCCTTTTTTTGGAATCGGATGAAAATAAGATTTCTTCAAACTTAATTTCCTGTCCTTGTAGTAGTTGGCATGCATTGTATTTGTAAAATTGTGATACCAAGTGGAGAACAAGTAATAGATACATAATTTAAAAACGAGATTAAACATTAATCAAAGAATTGAGAGTGATGTGCAGCATAAACAGAATATTATTTAATCCAAAGCCTGTTTATTATTTGCCTTGACCCTTCGAGCACGTGATGTTATCGTGGTTTAAATAAGGCTTCTTTGTGTCATCACTAGGGATAACTTTGTTACATATTTGTATATATACTACTAAATCTACCTACATGTTAGCCTAAGCTTCAACTTTTAGATAATAATTTTTAAGTCAAGCCTCTTTTGCGTTGGTGTTTTTAAGGATAATATGTTGTAGCAGTGCCAAAATACATTGTGAAGTTTTATGCGATTGCAAGTGAATTTGTTCACGCTTACTGTTATGTTAACATCAACTTACATAATATAAAATAGATATTGTGTTTGGTTTTTTCCATTACCTTATACATAATTATTTTAGGTTAGTTATCGTTTTGAGTCACAATACTAAACGTGAGTTCCGAAAGAAACCCATAAGGCTAAACTGACATTTAGTTTTTTTCAGAGTCTCACTTAATGGGCCTCCGAAATGATTCTGCGGGTATTCAATATCTTTGAGCTTTATCTACAATCCGAAACATATTACTTAGTATTTTGTAAAAAAATGCCTGATATTGTACATAAACACTTCACGAAATAACATAAATATATAATTTAATGTTATTGGGGCTGCCAAATGTCTCATCTATACACATAAATAAAATTGAAGTCTGTAATATCGAAATAACTGCCATATATTGAGCTGAGGGGGGGGGGGGGGGGGGGGGCATGACAATGAAACAGAAACAGAAACTTTTTTATTCAATTTGTATAATTACCACTGGTCCGAAAAAAAACCTCTGTCCTGGGAAGAACCAGCAAGAAACCCAGCGGGACTTTTTTTTTTAAATAAGAGCTTACAATCATGTGTGTTACACAAATTAAAAAATAAATTAGAAATAGCTTGGTAGCGATCACATCATTTCCAGGGGTTATTATCATCTATAAATTCTTTAATATTATTATAATAACCCTTTTTATACAAACTTAGTTTAATAAAGTTTTTGAATTTTGAGCAGGTAACGATTTCTTATATTTAGGCGAACACTACACATTTAAATGAAAGTAGTTTTACGGATTTTATCGCGTATATTAACTTATTTTATATTCCCGACGATTCGAGCACTTTACAGCGCCCATGGTCCTGTAAATGCACATGACACATAATGACGCAGGTGTTTGACGGCCCAATGTCATAGCCAACCACGGCTACCTCCAGATTAAAATTATTAATTTTGTTCCGATCTACGCAATATGAATTTACAGTATCTTGAAGTCTTGCAGTTGCATACTTGGGTTGGGATTTAGTTTTATTAATTATAGGATCCCAAGCAGACGGTAGCACCTAGCCATCTTCTCTATTGAAATTAGAATGTTTTTTGATTTCAATAGCCTCGCGAATCATCCTTGGAAGGAATCGGTGTTCTTTAGCGAGGATTTGTGGTCTATCAAATCTAATGTAGTGACGGGGGCGATCTTTTACATGTTTACAGACTGCAGACTTCCCGGAGTGTCGATTCTTCACAAATACACGTAGATGAATCGACGCTTCGGGAAGATGGCTGATTCGATTGTAATGAAACTTCACAAACAGAGAGCAGTGCCAGGAGTGACCTAAGCAATATTTTATCCGTAACACTTGGAGTTTTTTAAAAAAAACGAAATATTTATAAAATTAATGCGCTTAAATTATCTTAAGCTAAATAACGCCTTATTAAAAGACCCTATTAATGAGATATATAGACCTAGGCGAAGCCAGGGCGGTATACTAGTATCAAATAGGTATAACATTTTCGGGACTATCGCCAGTACAAATTGAGAAGATGGCAAATAAATAAAAAATATTAGGAATATTTTTGCTGCTTTGAGCCTTTGTTAACCCTAACTGTAATGTTGAATACATGTCATGATAAGCAAGGCTTGCGTTAAGAGGTCATTGCTACGGAAATGCAGTCGACGATAAAGATTGCATTTAATGTAACTACCGTATTCAAATACGTGGTCACCTCGACGAAGCAAGACTCGAGTGATAAATTAATCATGATAAAATGAGGAGGTGTTTCGTCTGTCATAAATCACAGTTTCATTGTTTTACCAAGTACGCGTGAATGGTCATATAATGAGATATAATGGGTATTTCCTGCATAATAAAGATAATCATTTAATACAACGTGTTTACCATTAAACAATGAGTTAGTAATAGCACCACATGGCCTATAGGTTTCAACTTTCCATCTTCTTCATCATTCACAGTCTGATCATGGGGTTAGGGATAAACGTCCAACTGTCATCTCTGTCAATACAAATTTATAACGAAAATTTATTCATTCATCATTCATTAATTACAGCTACAGATATTTCCTATAGACGTTACGTTACAAGAAACCACACCGTGGTTTGAATTTAATTCATCCACTCTCCTCGCACCCCCTTAATTTATCTAATTAGTTTAATTGCGGGGAAAAAACTAGGTACGTTAAACATTGTCGTATGTGGTTGCAGCTTAAGAGAATTCGTCATCTCATTTCGACCCGTGGATCTTGTAAGAGATCTTGGAAATTAAGAATCAAAATGTCGATGCGTTGAGGAATTCTCCTGTTCCGGTTCACTACACCCAATATACGAAACACAGCAGCATAAAGTTTCTATTTTACGCTGGTAATATGTGAGAGCGTGGTCCTTCTCCGGTGGAGCCTATCAATTCGTGCTACAACCACAATATATTTGGAACATGGCTCTACCACGTAACGGTTGTTGTGGTTCGCAAATCCGTGGAAGTGCTACGCTATCACAGAATATCAACGTAAAGTTAGTGATTATTGACGACGAATCCCAATTATCACTATGTTTGGCCAAAGATTTATACGTCCTAAAGTCAGAATCCTTCCTAATACTTATGAATAATTTCGGTTCCGTTGGAGCAATATGTTTCCATCTCGGTAAATGGAAGTCACCAATTGGTCACTAAATCTTGAAAAATAAATCACATCTCAAAAGCAAACAATAGTGGCGTTTTCGAGAAGAGATTATTAGCTTGAATTCAGGCTAAAATTATCCCAACAAAGGGCTATATATTTAAGTGAATTATTAGATGTTCAGTTTAGTTAAGGAAGTTAGGTTACAGTATAAGGATAGTGTTAATGAAAAGTAATAAAAGTTGGAGAGTTATATTCTTCTTATAAAACTATTATTAGTGTTTTTTCCGAACAAAAAGCACGTTAGAATTAGCCGAGTATATATTTACGAAGAGCTGAAAGGAGAACGTTAAATTAATTTATTAATAATTAAAGTATTAAGTCACATAGCGCAAAGCGCGCATGTTATGCTAGCGCCTAAAAATTAAGATTCCAGGGTTTTGTCGCATAAAATCGTATCTAGCAATCATATAATAGATATAAATGATATAAAAAGCACAGCGTCAGAAATATAAATGATTGTTGAACTTATTTTTTTCTTCAGTCACTACTAATATTATAAAATTTAGGATATCGTTGGGGAGGATCCCAGCTTGAAAGACTTATAGGATCGCACTTAGGCTGAGATCTATGGAGCGTACTTTGACTTTGCTCAGACTTTACTTACGAAAAACTTCGCTGAGTATACGATATATTTGATCCTGAATTTATAGTTGCATCTAATAATTAGAGTAACATAAAAACAACAATTTAAAATTAATACGGTGGTTTCGGATAATACCCTGAGTTTTACGTAAGTCGTCGATTTCGTTAACTTAGGCTTTGCTAAGCGCGCACTCAGCACGACTTCGAAGTTAACTCTATAAATACCGACATTGTTTTAGCTCGAAATTAAGTCAAAGTATGGTCTATAGATCTCAGCCTTAGGCCTCAGGAAAAACGTTACAATAAACTTCTATAAGATTGTCGTAGTCATCATTATTAATTTGCTAGAATTCGAACTGATGATATACTTATATTTTTTTTAATTTCAGACACTAGCTATACAAAAAGCTATCAACGCGATCGAGACGCCTGTAAAGGAGAAACATGTCCGGAGTACAATTATTGGCACCTTCCAGGAGCAAAGCGCTGTTACGTATTGGGTAAAAATTCACTTTTTTTAAAATACAAACTTCATGTTAAATGGTTTTTTTTTGTATTTAAATATTTATAAGGAATAAACTAAATTACCATGTGAAATTACCATGTGCATCACAATACATTGTCTTGTAATTATCAATGCCAAATGCCAAGATCTGATAGTAGATAGAAGTATAACCCTAATTGATGTCAGATGTAGAATATAAAGAGAATCCACCAGCCCATTTCCTCCCGTGGGAGACGTTAGAAGCGACTTTGAGATAGGTCTCTTATGACTTCCAATAGGTGGAGGTATCTCTTTATGCAGGGTATAAAATACTCAGACCAGCGACAGGGAGCATCTTCAATAGTGCGAGAGGTTTGAGGAACCACTTGTCTGGTCGTCCTCGTGGTTCATTCTTTACGTCCAAATTTCTACTAAGAAAGCGATTAAACCAAAAACATTCGTGTAAAAAAGTCCGTGAGTCGTATCTTTTCTCCAAACGCAGCATTCATTGATATGGCGAGCTATTTTCGTTGCGATAAAACTACTTCGGAAATTACTTAAATTTTTGAGCTGGTGTCTGCATATTTAATGTGAATGCTACAAAACAATTAAAAGTCAATCAATAGAATGTCGTAAATTTTTTGCATTTTGCAGAATATTTTTGTGTAAAAAACTTTTAATCACAAATTTTAAACCATACAGGTTTAATTTTAATTCGAAGCGGCCAATTAAAACGGAAACTTCATACTTTAACCCTAATGGTTTTGTAAGCTGTGCGCTTATAGTACCTACTTGATTTGTTATGCAACTTAATAATTTGGTAGGTATTCAAAATTTTTCTAATTAATTTAAATAATCCTACTTCTTAGAATTAATTTATCTGATCTTTTGAACATAATGTTTGTCCCAAATACACTATCTATAAATTGCAATAATTTAAAATCGGTTATTGCATAATGCAGGCCGCACAAGCGATTGCAAGAAAAACATTTTAGACGTGAACTAGTCTAACTGAGGTACGATTCACGGTTGTATTATACGTTACGAGTGCGTATTTCAACTGCTTGTATCATATTCGTAGAATTCTTTACAATTAAGTGTTGGTACAATTTATATAGGGTCACATAAGTTATTTTTAATCGATGCTATATTTGAGGCAACAACAATTATATTAAAATAAGTCTAATCACGAATGTAACCTTAGCATTGTTAATGGAATTTGTTTGTTCAGATGGTGGCGATCCGTCAGCCTTTACTTGATAACCGTATCGTCGCATGGAAGTTCTGCCACGTAACGCACAAGTTGCTGCGCGAGGGTCACCCCGCCTGCTTGGATGACTCACAGCGACATATTGGGATGATCGAGAACCTAGGCAAGCTATGGGTAAATAAGTTTTATTGATATCTACGTGTTTGAGGATCCTAAATTTGCTAAAGCAAAACTTGAGTTTGATTGACTACATTTTTTTTACGGTAATGGTGACAAACGAACACACAGTCCACCTGATGGTAAGTGGATGCTGAGGCCCTTAGACATGTACATACATTTATCATTGATTAAGATTCAAATTCAAAATTCAATGCCTTGTTAACCCCGAGGACTAAGATGGAATGCCTCGTTTCCAGTAAAAAGGGTATCTGGTTCTCTGTAGTTCGTTAATGTTATGTGAGAGCCGACCCATTCGTACCATTTGTGTTAATAGTTATAATATGTTGTCGAAGAGTGTTTAGGTTAGATTACTTGACTATGAAGTCATATGCTAACCGAGACAATCATTTTTGTAAAAAATAAAAATACATTAATATGTTTGTCTTCGTATATCTGACGTTCATTGAAGTTTACCTGTTTACTCTAGTTAAGTGTTATGCCATCAAAAACATAACTTGTAAAAAAAGCCAAGTCTCGCAACTCAGTTGTTATACCGTAAAAAGTTGTGAGATCCATGTAATACCACGTCGGTTAATTTATTCAGTCCCTACTTAAGGGTCCTTCTGTCTCAAGTTATTACGTAATTAGCTAACCTAACAACATCTTATAGTGACCATATCAATTTTAAAAATCTTTTATGTTTTAAATACATAGATTGACTTGGCAATCGCACTAAACAATCTAATTTAATATAATATGTATTGCTTGTGTGATACATTGTGTTTTCATGCGATGGCCAAGTCAATCTATTTATTTAAAACATAAAAGATTTTAAAATTGATATGGTCACTATAAGATGTTGTTAGGTTAGCTAATTACGTAATAACTTGAGACGGAAAGACCCTTAAGTAGGGACTGAATAAATTAACCGACTTGGTATTATATGGATCTCACAACTTTTTACGGTAGAACAACTGAGTTGCGAGACTTGGCTTTTTTTACAAGTTATGTTTTTGATGACTTTCTTTTTGTAGATAGCTTAATCTAGGTACCTATCTACACCTATTATTCCATTATATTATACATATATAGGTACACTGATTCATTCACTGCAAATGTAACTTTGTAATCCTATATATTTATATGGGATTACAAAGTTATTTATGCTGTTGGTGTATCTCGAAAACAACCAAAATTGCAAAATATTTTAATTTTACCTTGATTAATATAATAAACAATAATTGTATTCCATATTTGAAGCTTCTATGTCTGCTAGTGCCTTAGAGTTTTGATGATCGGTCAGTCAGTGAGTGACAAAATTAAGAAACTTTGACTAGTTATAATTCTTAAACTACTGGCTCAAATTTAATGAAATTAGAAATATATCGAGTTTATACAATGCCTACTTGGTTAATGAAAATACAGGCTTCTAGTTTTATCCACCACGAAGTTATAGGGATTCGAAAATGGCCTGAACTGCTTCGAGAAAAGGATGGTACGGTCGTGCCGCTTCTTTGCTCGACTTGGCGGGGACACTGCCGTGTCCCCAGATAACAGACACGAGAAGTTATAGTACTTAAAAATATTTTTCTCGACTTATGCTGGCAGTGCAAAAATGGCAATTGGAGAGTGCAGATGTCAGTAAATTATATCGTATTCTAATTCTGTGCGCATAGTAGATGAAATGACGGCTTAAAAACTTGTACTGGCAGTCGATGTGTTTGCAAATAGCTCACGGCAATGTTTGTGATAATTTATGAGAGTAGCCTGCGTTCAACACTGGACTTACTGTTCGCTTGTTGCAGGTGCACCTTCGAGAGGGTTATGGCCGCCTGGTCCACTTGTATTGCAACCTGCTGGTGTGCAAGCTGAAGTTTCACAACCGCAACCCGCGCTTCCCAGGCAACATGCAGCTCACCGCTGACGAGCTGGATAACATTGCAGAGAACGATGTCAATAATTAGTAAGACTAACTATGTTTCATGTCGTATATACGTTCATTCTATCATTCATTACAGCCCTTGACAAGTCCACTGCTGAACATAGGCCTCCCCCAAGGAATGCCACAAAGCACGGTCCTCGGGCTCGGTGGCTCGGGACTTCCTGCACGTCTTACCAGGTCGTCACTTCATTTAGTGGGGGGACGTCCTACAGTTCGCCTGCCTGTACGAGGCTGCCACCCGAGAACCTTTCTTCCCCATCGGTTGTCAGTTCTTCGAACTATATGACAGGCCCATTGCCACTTCAGCATACTAATTCTTTGGGCTATGTCGGTATATACTTATGTATGTAAATAAAATTCAAGTGTTTGTTTGTGATATTGAAATAACTGGCTTCTTGTTTGGTGGACTCAGCAGCACCATGTCGCTGTATAACTGATGTTGTTGACAAGAACGCCATCGAACACCCAACACCAGCGCCGCTAAGCTCACGGATCAGACGGTCAATGTAAAGGTTGAAGAGGTTCGGCGATGTTAATCCGCCTTGCCTTACACCACACTCCGATCTGTACTTGTTCAATAGTGATCCCGACCGCCGCACAATTTGCTCTGATTCCCATACCACTACTTCAGGAGGCTTATATACTCAGAGGGAAGGTCCGTATCATTCGACAACTTTTGCCATAACCTGTCATATGCAACTAAGTCAAATGCTTTAGATAGATCTAAGAACCAGACGTAGACAGGTGTGCTTCTGTCAGTGTAGTACTGGACGGTATGCTTGAGATTCAATATGGTCACTTCGGTTGATAAACCGGGGCAAAATCCAAACTGCGCGTCATAGAACTGTAGATATTGTCTTAATTGAATATCAATGAGACCGTCCAGAAACTTAGTAATGACTTTTGCGATTGAAATAGGCCTGTAATTACTTAATTTGGACGCGTAGACCGTTCTCATCATAGCTTCAGGCAGGTCAGAATGGCTCATGCAGAAAATAAACAACATAGCGAGCACTCTCGACATATGAACACCTGCATTCTGCAAATGTTCTATGCTGAGTAAGTGATGGACCCGTGCAAATAACCCCTTGAGCTTAATAGCTCAAGCTATTTGCACGCTATTTAGATACAAATAATAATTGTTTTCAAAGTTTTGTCTGTGTTTCTGTCCAGGATAATCTTCGGAATGGCTTAACTGATTGTGATGAAACTTCACGAACAGATACAGAGCAATGGCAGATTTTGAAAATGTTTTTTTTTTAATAAAAAATTTATAAAATAAATGGTCTTTGATTATTTTAAATCTGAATAACGCCAATTTATAGATCTTATCTAGGCGAAGCCAGGACGAGTTGCTAGTATAACCACAAAATTGTAATACATTTCTAGTTACGACATAATGACACATATGCAATGGTCTCGAGAAGTGAACGTATATCATATGTTGAAGTTTAAAATAATATGCAATCTATTTTTCTCTTGTTAATTTTGACGCCTTGTATCAATAAGTCATTTTCTTTTCCAGTTTCCAGATATGCGTCGAGTTATTCGATTACATGGACGACATCTTAAACCTACAAGCGGCAGGTAAGTTAATCAATTCTTAAAATTCATGATGTTTACTTGAACATCATTACTATAGCCGTGTTGTGGCGGCGTAAAGAATGCATAAGCTCTTATATATAAAATTGATACGGAAGATGGGCAGCAGCATCTTCTTGCTAACAACTTAATAAAAATATCGCGTACTTTGCTCTCTGCCATTCAAGCCGGGAAGACCATGAAAAATCTTAATAGGTGTAAACGTGGAGTATCGCGCAAGTTAGCTCGATTATGGCGAGTAGGTGTATCGATTTTTTTTAATGTTATCTACGGCTCTAAATTTAGTTTTCGAAGGCTAACGACAACTCAACGACTAGCTAATCACTACTCTTGAAGTTTAAAATGGATTGCTATTCTTAAAGTGGTGCCATTTTATTTTTCTAATGTCTGAGGACATGACCTTTTAGTAAAAACGATGCAACAAATGTTCCGATACTATCGTCATCGACTAGCTGCTGTCAAACTCTCCTAAAAATTTCACAATGCGACACGGCAGATGAGGCTGCATGGTCATAGATGGCTTTGCCTTTAAAAAAAGTTGTAATGTTGTCCCTTGGCAGTGTTCGAGAGCCTGGGCAACGCGCGCGCCAACTCGATGACGGCGAGCGGGCAGTGCCGGCTGGCGGCGCTGATCCCGTGCGCGCAGGACGCGTCGCACATCTACGACTGCAACGTGCGCCTGCTGTTCCGCCTGCACGCCGCGCTGCCGCAAGACACGCTCGCCGGCCACCGCGAGAGGTACGCCCCACCCCACCCCACCCCACCCCACCCCACCTGGCGGCGCTGATCCCGTGCGCGCAGGACGCGTCGCACATCTACGACTGCAACGTGCGCCTGCTGTTCCGCCTGCACGCCGCGCTGCCGCAAGACACGCTCGCCGGCCACCGCGAGAGGTACGCCCCACCCCACCCCACCCCACCCCACCCCACCTGGCGGCGCTGATCCCGTGCGCGCAGGACGCGTCGCACATCTACGACTGCAACGTGCGCCTGCTGTTCCGCCTGCACGCCGCGCTGCCGCAAGACACGCTCGCCGGCCACCGCGAGAGGTACGCCCCACCCCACCCCACCCCACCCCACCCCACCTGGCGGCGCTGATCCCGTGCGCGCAGGACGCGTCGCACATCTACGACTGCAACGTGCGCCTGCTGTTCCGCCTGCACGCCGCGCTGCCGCAAGACACGCTCGCCGGCCACCGCGAGAGGTACGCCCCACCCCACCCCACCCCACCCCACCCCACCTGGCGGCGCTGATCCCGTGCGCGCAGGACGCGTCGCACATCTACGACTGCAACGTGCGCCTGCTGTTCCGCCTGCACGCCGCGCTGCCGCAAGACACGCTCGCCGGCCACCGCGAGAGGTACGCCCCACCCCACCCCACCCCACCCCACCCCACCTGGCGGCGCTGATCCCGTGCGCGCAGGACGCGTCGCACATCTACGACTGCAACGTGCGCCTGCTGTTCCGCCTGCACGCCGCGCTGCCGCAAGACACGCTCGCCGGCCACCGCGAGAGGTACGCCCCACCCCTAGTATCCGTACAAACTGGCCGTCTTTGTTGCAGCTCTGTGTCAAACATCTACCCGGAAAAATAATTTGTAAGTTTTTTACCTGTGTGGGATTTGAACCGTATACCTCAGCTAAAGGCTTCGCCACTGCGCTACCGAACAGTAATAGTAATAAATATTACCAAACAAATTTTGAAAACCATAATTTAAAATTAAAAATTTTGTACCAGGTAGTGTCACCACCTACAGGGAAAACATTAATATAATGTTTACCAAAATTAATCGATTACACAAAGTACATCGATATAGGCTGTATGGTACATTTGTCCTTTCTCTACTATGAGCTAAAAAAATATGAAGGTGCCTTTGAATTTTTAATAGCATTAAAACTTATAAAACTATAAATTCATTTTATTAACAAACTACGCATACCAGGCTATTGATATGAAAGAGGGAACTAGTTGATGTAATTTTGAACCTAATAAAAAAAAACCCGGTCTCGATACGTCAATTTTCTCGGGAGTTATCGTGAACACATACAAATTCAACATGCGGACGTCCACGTAAAATTTTTTCAAACCGTTGTTTTTCAAAGTAGCAGTATAGTATGCTTTTTTTTTTTAGAAAAGGTAAGATGAAGTAATTTGAGTGTTTTCTTGATATACGGCTACTCGTATTATGGTTTAAGTGCAATATGGGTATGATAGAAGCATTTTAAGAACACAATATAATATATATATGTACACGCCCCTAGCTGCCCCTAAAAACGTCAAATATCCCGGGGCCCATCAGCGGTAGATTCGACAGACAACTAAGGGGGGGGGGGGGGCAATGGCCTATGGAGACTTAACCTACACAATAGATATAAGGCTAGGTAAATAAATAGTACGTACCTGGTTCCGAAGCTAAGGCTGCCCCAAGGGTCGGTCAGGCGGTAGGTAGGTGTAGGTGCATGTAAGTAGTGTGTATCACTCCAGCGGACGTCACCAATTGACAACTTCTTTCTTCATTTCACTAACTTCAAACATTTAATTAACTTCAAACTCAACTAAATTCAACGTTCATCGAAATCAAACACGTGACACCCGACACAAATAACGAACAGTCGTTCAAAGTTCAATATTCAAGGTTCGGTTCATGTAGCACCAAATTACAAACAGGGAACTAACGCGATCTCTTCTCGAGTCACAAAGGTCAGTGTTTTTAGCCGACACAGGAAAATATCTCCGAGTTACATCAAATGCCACAAGCAACTCGTCGACGCAAAATAATATTGTCAAGCACTTCAACCGGCAATCACTATACAATTTACGTAAATTACTTGCCAACGGATTTAGGTTAATCAATCAAAATATTACTGCTTCGTTATCGCGTGAACGCACTAAAGATAACCAAAACTAGAAGCGAAAAACTACAATAGTAAATTCCACACGCATCTAAACCGAACGTTGATCGCAATCAATATTAACTTCCAAACAATTAATCGACCCGGCGTCTATTTTTCTAGACTCAACAAACTCGTCGTCGTTGCATAAATTCGCTAACAAAAACCGACACTAACTAGAGGTTATACGGGACGCGACCACGCCGTTATAGAGACCGCACTGCATTGACTTCAGACGCGCCCTGCTCGCAACCAACCGGATCTCGCGCGAACGTCAACCCGTATGAAATCACCGCGCTGAGCGCCCCCTGGCTGTCTGTTTGTAATTACTAAATCCATATGAAAGTATTATTACGGTACTAATAACAAAAATACAATTTTTAAAGTTTTTGTCTGTCTGTCTGTTTGTTCCGGCTAATCTCCGAAACGGCTGGACCGATTTTGACGGGATTTCACTGGCTGATGTCACAAGGAGTAACTTAGGCTACTTTTATTTTAGAAAAAGAATTAGAGTTCCGCGCAAAGAGGTAAAAGACAAAGCCGACCTTTTAGGCTCCCTTTTTGCGTCCAACTCGACTCTTGATGACGGGGGGAAAACACCGCCGACCATCCGGCGGTCTGAGTGCTCCATGACGGATGTGCTGTTCTCACAGCGCTCGGTTCGCAAAGCACTCCTCTCCCTGGACATCCAGAAGTCGAGTGGGCCTGACGGAATCCCCCCAATTGTGCTGAGGACGTGTGCTTCGGAGTTGGCACGGGTCCTAATGCGTCTTTTCCGGTACTCCTACTCCCAAGGCGTAGTTCCGAATTCATGGAAGACAGCTTTTGTCCACCTGATCCCTAAAAAAGGCGACCGCTTAGACCCGTCCAACTATAGGCCTATCGCGATCACCTCCTTGTTCTCCAAAATAATGGAATCAATTATTTACTGCCAGCTCATGCGGTACCTTGAGGATCACCAGCTGATTAGTGACCGCCAATACGGTTTTCGTCGGGGTCGATCAGCTGGTGATCTTCTGGTCTACCTGACCCATAGATGGGCAGAGGCAGTAGAGTCCAAGGGGGAGGCGTTGGCCGTTAGTCTGGACATTGCGAAGGCCTTCGATCGGGTTTGGCACAAAGCGCTTCTTTCGAAGCTCCCTTCCTATGGGCTTCCCGAGAAATTGTGCGATTGGATCACCAGCTTCCTTGCAGATCTGAGCATCAAGGTCGTTGTAGACGGTGCATGCTCCGACTACAAGCCTATTAACTCTGGTGTTCCACAAGGCTGTGCGCTATCACCAACACTGTTTCTTCTGCATATCAATGATATTTTGCTAACTGATAACATTCATTGGTATGCAGATGACAGCACTGGTGATGCTCTATACACTGGCCGTGCCAATATTTCTCGGGAAAACGTCGCCGAGTACCGGAACAATGTGTCTGAAGTCGAGTATTTGCTGGACAAAGTCTCGGATTGGGGGCGACTAAATCTAGTCCAGTTTAATCCTCAGATGACACAAGTTTGCGCGTTTACCGCTAAAAAGAACCCCTTTGTCGTATCTCCTCAGATTCAAGGCACTCCCCTTCTTGCCTCAGCCAGTATCGGAATCCTCGGTGTCGACATATCGAGTGACGTGCAGTTTCGAGGTCACTTGGAAGAGAAGGCCAAATTGGCGTCTAAAAAGCTTGGCGTGCTCAGCAGAGCGGGACAGTATTTCATGCCGGCACACCGCCTGCAACTTTACAAGGCGCAGGTTCGGCCTCACATGGAATACTGTTCCCATCTATGGGCAGGGGCTCCCCAGTGCCAGCTCCTTCCACTTGACCACATCCAGCGCAGAGCGGCTCGAATCGTCGACTACCGAGTCCTTTCCGATCGGCTCGATTCATTGGCACTGCGAAGAGATGTTGCATCCCTTTGCATTTCCTTTCGCATCTACCACGGGGAGTGCTCTGAGGAATTGTTCGGATTAATCCCAGCCGCCAAATTTCACGAACGCAAATCGCGGCAGAACTCCCGATACCATCCACACCATCTGGATGATTGGCGGTCCACCACTGTGCGATTTAGAAGATGTTTTCTTCCTCGCACGACTTCCTTGTGGAATCGATTACCATCAGCGATTTTTCCGGACCGATACAACTTAGGGACCTTCAAGAAAAGAGCGTACTCCTTTTTAAAAGCCGGCAACGCATCTGCGATTCCCTCCCTGGTATTGCAGCTGTTCATGGGCGGCGGTAGTCACTTACCATCAGGTGAGCCGCATGCTCGTTTGCCAACTCTCCTATAAAAAAAAAATTAAAACCCCAAATAACACGCGGGTGAAGTCGCGGGGAACAGCTAGTATATATATAAATATAAATGTAATGTAAAATATCATTCTACCTGACTCTCTCTCCTGATCTGTAACCTTATGACCACCTCATTACATTGAATTGCTTATAATTTTGCTTATAATTTAGATTGTTCTCTTTCCTTTTCTTCTAACAACAATATACCTGCCATCAAGCAATATAAGGGAAACCTGTTATTGGCCATACTTTTAGTTTTACATTAATTTTAATATTTACTATATATGCTGTTGATTTTCTAAATAAATTAAATAAATAAATGTTCAAAAAATATGTTTTAAAAAAGTCCCGCTGGCTCTTCCCAGGACTGAGGTATTTTCCGAACCTGTGGTAAATAAAAAATTACTTTCAATAAGTATTATGTAATCTTTATATATAAAAATTACGTGTCACATTGTTTGTCCGCCATGGACTCCTAAACTACTGAACTGATTTCAATGAAATTTTGCACACTGTGTGCATTTTGGTCCAACTTGAGAGATAGGATAGTTTTTATCCCGATAAATGACGCTCAAAACTTTTTATTGCGAATTTAAGGATTTTTATAGTAAGGGTCGTTGGAAAGGGCGGAACAACGTCTGCCTGGCGAGCTAGTAATCGATATTGAATAAAAATTATTCTATTCTACAAAATTATTTGACTTTGACGTGTCGAGATTAAGCACTACCTAATAACACTTTGCGTTATAAGGAGTTCAATAACTAATAGTCTATTAATAACTATTCTTATTACTCATATTCCTGATAACGTTCCTTAGAGTGGTCCAAGCAAGCTTATAAATGCTTGCGTTAGGAGTGGGTCACCACAGTAGTCGAATGGCTGATTCGACTACTGTGGTGAACCACTCGGTTATTCGGCTACTGTCACTTCGAATCTACCGCGTCTTTTGGTTAGAATTAATTTATAAAATACTTGCTACCAAAACAATTGTATCAAGTGTCACAATCAAGGTAATGAGTATTTGCCATATATTAAATAGACATGAAAAAATAAATATTAATTAGATCACTGCAGTACGGTATTTTTTAATGATAATAAATTAAAAATTTCAATATTACTTGTAGATTTCGGCAGCAGTTTAAGAAACTAAGTTCCTTCTACAAGCACGCAAGCAGTCTCCAATACTACAGAAATCTGCTAACACTGCCCGTCCTACCGTCGAATCCACCGAATTTTCTTATACAGGTCAGTATAATCTGCTGATAGAAAAGAAAATTAAAGACGTTCCATTTTTTCCATTCAACGACTCTAATAGGTCTGTCAATATAGGACGCACCAATTGAAATTAATCACTAATTTCAACCAGTTTGGTAACATGACAGAATGCCAATAGTAGACATTTCGGTCCGTCAACATGTCAAAGTGCTCAATAATACTTCAAAAGTATCACGCCTAAAACTCACGCAATTCCTGTGCACGATTTTTGTAAGATGTAATAAAAATACTATGCTCTCAAAGAGATGCTGATATGCCATCTCGTATATTATGCCAGATGTAAAATGCCCAAACCAACAAGAGCGACAAGGAGCAGCGTTACGAGTACAACATCGCCAATCCGTCTGCCAAGTGTGAAGATATGACAATTCCTTCCCACAGTTAAAGTTACTCATGTTCAGTCGCTAAATGTTATAGACTAATGATCATTAAGATGTACTTTAAGAACATATTAAATAGGTACATATATTTTTTTATAATTTAATTTAATTAAAACATGATTTTTTACTATTTTGTTTAAAAAATATCTATTTTTACGACAAATGTTAGAAAGGATCATTATTTGAACTAAAAAAACTTTCTTTTTTTTTTGCGGGTAGGAGTGTGCATACTACACGTAAAAATAATAAGCTGCGTAATTTAAGCAAAATAATATATTTAGCAAGTGTTTTGTATAACTGATGTGCTAAATTAAAGTCGTTTACCTACCAGCATATTTCCATACAACTATTTACAAGCCTGCAATTGAATTTTGCCACTAAATAATTCTCACAGTGATTTTATAACCTGCCCTTGAACTGTCACTAAAATGGAGACACTTCAGAAGTCACTTGAAGACATGTCAACTTTGTTTAACATTCGAATGGAAGAGTTTCAGAAAAGACTAGAAGCAAAAGCAAGTAGCACTTCACCAACAGCGGGTAATACTTCCTCACTTTCAACAGATTTTGAAATGTTTCGTTCTTTTGTGCTCACATCCTTAAAAACTCTCAATGAACAAGTGCAACTGTTATTCAAATTATATGACCAATCTGAAATGAGATCCAGCCGTAAGATGATCCTTTTACATGGTATTAGAGAGGAGAAGAAAGGAGACCTTCCTTATACAGTTTGTAAATTGTTTGCAGACAAATTAAAAATGACAGATATAAATACTGATCAAGTGCTATCGGATGTGATGAAATTAGCCGTAAAATGATCGTTCCCCTTTTATTCTCTGATTGATATTATTCTCCCCATCCATACTCATATTTTCAATTACTCCATATCCTCTGGATCCTTTCCTCGAATCTGGAAGGAAGCTAATATCATTCCTCTTCCTAAAAAGAAGAACCCCTGTTCTCCTTCAGATTATCGACCTATATCTATCCTTCCATTCCTTTCAAAAGTTCTTGAACGTTTGGTATTTGCACAATTTAACCACTACCTAAATAAAAACTCCCTTCTTGACTCCTTTCAATCAGGGTTCAGACTTGGTCATAGTACTGTTACAGCTTTACTTAAAATCACTGATGATATTCGCTGGGGTAGTGACCAACAGCAGCTCACTATTCTTACGTTGCTGGATTTCAGTAACGCTTTTAACACCGTCGATTTTGACGTATTGTTGAGTCTGCTACGTTCTATTAACATGTCTCCAGCGGCAATTGAATGGTTTCAAAGCTATTTGCGTGGCCGCCGGCAACGTGTTATGGTAGAGGGTGCCACATCTACGTGGTGTGAACTAACTGCTGGTGTACCACAGGGTGCGTGTTGTCTCCTCTCCTTTTTTCTGTATTTATTAATTCTATTACTTCACGAATTTCTTCTCTCTACCATTTGTATGCAGATGATCTCCAAATTTACTCCCATACATCACTCCAGAATCTTACCAATGCCATCAATGACACCAATACGAATCTTGCTGCAATACTTGATTGGAGCAGGTCGTTCGGGATTAATTTAAATTCCAAAAAGACCCAAGCAATTATTGTTGGAAATAGCACTCTAATCTCGAGAATTTGTTGGGATAACCTTCCACCTATTGTTGTTGATGGTGTTGTGATACCTTTTAGTAAATCTGTAAAAGACCTAGGATTATATATTGATCAGAATCTTTCTTGGTCCCTGCATATTAAGGAGTCCAGCAGAAAGATGTTTGCGGCAGCATCTTATTTAAGACGTTTGCGTAACTCGCTTCCCATTCCTACTAGAATTTTACTGGCACAGTCTTTGTTACTCCCTATCCATGATTATGCTGATGCATGCTACTCCAATCTTACTGAGGATCAATTAAATAAACTTCAGCGTCTTCAGAATTTCGCTATTAGGTTCATATATGGCCTTCGCAAATATGATCACGTTTCAGAGTACCGTATTAAGCTCAAGTAATTATTTAAATATGTGTTCTACTTAATATATTTTATTGTCATATCTAATCATATGTATATGATACATAGTTATAATGTATTACAGAAATATTTATAAAAGTGTATGTATTCTATGTATGTATATGTAGGTATATGTGTATATGTATGTGTGTATGTATATATTTGTTTATGTGTATAGGTATATATAATATTATTTTTAATATATGCTTGTTTATCTACTATTTATGCACACTTCTATATATTTAAATGAAAATAATCTCCTTCACCAAGGTTTGCCTGGAAGAGATCGCTGTTTAGCGATAAGGCCACCTAATTGTACATTCTTGATAAATTTAAGTTTGCTGTGTTGTGTAGTGTTCTGTGTGCAATAAAGAGTATAAATAAAAAAAGAAACAATTTTTACAACTTTTCGAATCTATTCTGCCCTTTCTCCGTTACCATTTCGTTTCAGCAATACGTAAAATCCATAAGGCAAAAATGCGACATGTCTGGTAGTACGATCGCCCATTCTCCTGCCATTTGTCACGGCTTTCTGTTGGGAGAAATTGATTGTTTTTGGTGGAATTAATATTATTAATTTTATTGCAGTGCTTACATTGTTTATTGTTAAAATTATTATTATTTAATTAGTCTCGGAACTATTCTCCAAGGTTTTTCTCGTCATGATTTAACTGCAATTCATTTTGAATGATCACCTTTTTTGGCACGACTTTCAAAGTGTAAAACCAAATAGCAAACTTACTTAGTTTTAAGTCATTAATGTGTATAATATTGTTGTGTACGTCAATAGATTGTGGCAAAATAAAGTGCTTTTTTCTTCTTTCAGAGTGATTTCGGCACGTACGTAACACCGGTGGTGTCAATCCCAGAGCCACCACCCGATGAAGTGGACTCCGTCGGCAGCCTGATAGACACGTCGGATACTATCAGTCAGGTATGTAGTGTGTCTACAGTTTACAAGATGAGTGCAAAACGAGATGTAAGGGAATGTTAATGTACGAAACAAACCCAATGAAAGTCGTTCTAACACTGATTTTATTGTAAAGGAATATACTTTATATAATGATTTCTTATATTTACGCGAACACTACACATTTAAATAAAACTAATTTTACGGATTTTATCGCGTATATTGACTTATTTTATATTCCCGACGTTTCAAGTACTTTACAGCACCCATGGCCACGGGGGAGACTGAGGTGTATGACGTCCCAATGTCATAGTTACCCACGGCTACCTCCAGATTAAAAATTATTAATTTTTGTTCCGATCTACGCAGTATGAACTTACAGTATCATGAAGTCTTGCAGTTGTATGCTTGGGTTGGGATTTAATTTTATTAATTATGGGATCCCAAGCAGATGGTAGCACCCAGCCGTCTTCTCTATTGAAATTAGGATGTTTTTTGATTTCAATAGCCTCGCGAATCATCCTTGGAAGGAATCGGTGTTCTTTAGCGAGGATTTGTGGTCTATCAAATCTAATGTAGTGACGGGGGCGGTATCCTGTACATGTTCACAGACTGCAGACTTCCCGGAGCGTCTATTCTTCACATCAGCTATGTGTTCTTTAACGCGGGTTTTTATGGATCTTTTAGTTTGTCCTATATAAGAGAGACCACATTCACAATCCGGCTTGTACACTCCTGCATCTTGCAGAGGAATATTACACTTGACTGATGGTAAAAACTGACTAATCTTCTTCGGCGGCTTGAAATATGTTTTAATGGAAGCACGCTTCAAGATGTAGCCAATCTTGTCATTGACACCTCTGACATATGGCAGTACAGCAGGCACTCGCTCAACTGTGGCCGGTCTCACTCGTTCACTGTGACGTAGGCGCGGGACCCGAAGCTTATTGTCGTGCAAAACTTGCTTGTCACAGATCCCTCGTGCTCTCTGAAACAAAGATTTACCCACGGTAGCTAACTGTGAAGGATGGTGGTGAGAATCACCGTTTAAATATCTATCTGTATGGGTCTTTTTTCGATACACAGTGTGGCTCAAGGTGTTGTTATCAGGATTCCGAATTACTAACACATCTAGAAAAGCTAAAGAATTGTTTGCCTCTAACTCCATTGTGAACTGAATTTAAGTAGTTAAGATGGTCTAAAAATGCAGTTACTTTATCTAAAGGTAGAATTGTGAAAGTGTCGTCTACGTACCGCTTGTAGAATCTTGGGTTTACGGGAGAAGTAAGCAGGGCTTTCTCCTCAAAGTCCTCCATGAATATATCGGCAACAATGGGAGATACAGGTGAGCCCATCGCCACTCCATCTACTTGCTTGTAGAACTCCTCCTTCCACATGTTGTTGTTGGGCATGTTGTTTTCCTCTAGCCTTCTAGTAACAATCGAGATGCAGTCTTCAACAGGTAGGCATGTGAACAGAGACTGCTCATCAAAACTCACCACAGTTTCATTGTCTGCCAGATGGTCTTTAATCTGGCTGACAAAATGGTAGAAATCCTTTGTGTGTGCTCTTGTATGTCCCTTGAGCGGTGAGAGTATATTCGCTAAGTGTTGAGCCAATCTGTAAGTTGGTGAATCGATTTGGCACACTATAGGACGTAGTGGAGCATTGGGCTTGTGTATTTTTGGTAACCCATACAACTTCGGTGGTTTAGCACTTTATATAGCTTACATGATTATTTAAATTATATTCCTTTATATTAACTTATATGATATATGATTATTATAAAAATGATGTATAAACAGAAGTACGGAAGTTGTACATGTGGTCGTAATTAACAAATAATATTATTTCTAAGTGACCTAAATGAATGAGTAATGCATGTTTTATTAACTATTGCGCGGTAACCCGTACAAGGTATCTTATTACCTGGCTTAGAAAACATTTCTTAAATCCTTTATACCGACATCTCATAATGAATTTATGTATCTACTATAGATGATTTTGGCCGAGTTGTTTTAAATGATTGTTTAACGTAACTTTGTACATCAAATAATAACTATTACGTAAGATCTTTAACATTCGTTGAATACAAAGCGTTGTTTTATTGCATAAAATTTTTTGAGGATAAAATTACGGTGAACTAATGGATAATGCGCTGGTTATAGAAATTAATATTATTTAACTTACGTTAAGACCAACATTGTGTAAACAACTTTTTTCTCGTTAGACGATAGTTAGCGCTATTTTTGAAGTATAGGCAGGCAGGTTTTTTCAACTTCTACTTAACGCACGCGGCATTAAGTAGAAGTTGAAAAAACCTGCCCTTAATTAGTTCAGTCCCTAGCTAAACGTCGCATCAACTAAATGCCGTCCCTTTTGTTCCAATACCTTGTTTATGCTGGCGTTCAGCCACTGTGATGCCAACAGTCGTTTCACGACCACGCACAGTGTACATACCACTCGCTACCGGATCGAAATAGGCCATCTATCACTCTACTGATGTACTATACACTGTACAACATATGCCTTCCCCTTAGATTATCTTATAATGCAGGTACAGAATAAAACAGTTAATCCAGTTACAAAAGTATAATGACAAGCTATTAGGCATTCCATCTAAGTCCTCAGATGTGACAACGCATCTGTAGCGTTCTTAGTTTTGGTTGACGGCGTTCAAAGGTTGCAACAATCACTTGCTTACTACCAGGTGGATTGTAAGTTTGTTTGACACTAATTAAAAAAACACTGTAAATAGATCAATAATGCGCAAGAATAATGACAACCTCGACTATGACTACAGTGACAAACAAACTTACAAACAAATAACATACTTATGGTAAGTGGCTTCTGCAGTCTATGTACACCTGCCGCAATATTGAAACAAAAGCGTTGTCACGTCTGGGGACTAAGAACTACAAACTAAAGACTTCTAAGATGGGATCTGTCTCACAGGCTGTAATTCTACTAGCTCTCTGTACCCTTCAGACCGAAACAAAGTAGTGCAAACACTGCTTTTATATTGTTATTCCGTTCACTATCCCATGTATATAAATAACTAAATTATCTTTTAAATTATATTTTTATAATTGCTGTGCACTGTGTCCCACGGCTTCACGCGACATGACACCTCGCTTATAGAGAGGCGTTCACTGCTGGTTTCTTTTGATTTTTATCGGGTGGCTAGGCGTCATAGCGCGTCGAGCCAAAAGTTGAATTATTGTAATAAAAAAAAAAACTATGCGTCCAAATAACATGCTATAAAGAGCATAGTTTATCGTAAGGATTAATAGGCCATGCCTAATAATAACCCTCATTAATCAGTTTTTTAATTTATAGAAATAAAATGATAGAGGTTTACATTTGTGCGCGCATCACGGAAAAAGTACTGTATAGATTTCAATTAGATTTTCTAAGTTTTATTTCTTAGACACTTGGCCCTTATCTAAAAAAAAAATATAGCAATATTTTCATTTAATATAAAGCTATTATAGTTTTAAGAAACAATGATTTTTATACGAGGTTATTCACGGTCAACTGTACGTCGCTTGCTCTCGCATTACTAACCCAGATAATTTATATATTTTAGCATCAAAAGGAGCAACGAATTACATTGTTTATAAAGAAATTTTGTCTTTTTGATGTTTTTACCTTTGCACATACGAAAACTTTGCTAATATATCAAGCAACGCTAAATGCTTGTTAATATATCGCGGGTATCAGCTAGTTGTCACAAAATACCTTATTGTGGCTTATGTATAAGAAATAGGCATATGGTATCTTGAACTTTTTTTTAGATGGAGGAAAGATCCTATATTTTGGTGCAACATTGTATTTACGTATCTTTAACGCCAGCGACGTGGATTAAGCAGTTCGGGACCGTTTTTTCTGCCGTCCTGTTTAAGAAAATCAATATTTTAGGCTAGCTGAGAGGTGTAGCATTGTGCTAGATAGCTTATACTTTTTCTCATGAGTCTGGCTGGCTATTATGTATAAAATGAATTATTTAAATCGGTCTGATAGTTCCAGAGATTAGCGTTTTTAAACAAACAATAAAAAATTCTTCTGCTTTATTATATTAGTAAGTCTATATAGGTAAGAGAGAGTGGTACCCAGGTGTACATCTGGCTAGAAAAGGAGTTGTTATAAGGGTGACAAACGAACAGGCACTTCACCTGATGGTAATGGATACTGTGGTCCGCATATATCTACGTCTAGCCTCGGCTAAGATTCAAAATGTAGATGCGTTGTCAGCTCTAGGACTAAGATGTAATGCTTATTTCTAGTAAAAAGTCTCCGGTTCTGTACACTCACTATTCAAAATACTACAGGATAAAGGTGCTATTTTACGCCGGTATTTTGATATTGCGTGGTCCTTTCTCGGTGAAGCAGTACCATTCGTTCTACAATCACAATATAGCTATAGTGTGGCCTTACTACGTATAAAATACCACGTAGTGCCGTTGAAGTAATATGATGTACTACGTAGGTACTAGAAGAGACACCGTGACTTGGTTATACTTGTTAAGTAATAAATTGTATAATGCATACTGTATACAACATAAGTTATGTTACCTTTGCCTGCTATAAAAAAAAATGTTCTGCTCCTTGCCGCTTGGTGTGTTTTTTGTATCTATGCCTCCCGAGAAAATTTTGTCATGTCATAACGTTTATTACTCTATTCTATGTGTTTTACGTTAATACTCAATATTATTATTTTTGGTCCCATAATAATAATACTCAACCTTATTCAGTCTGTGTCATAAAAAGTACTCTGTGCCTTCGATCACGCGCCTCGCACTGCCGTACAGATTTTGTTCGCTATGTGTGTTCTAGTACGTGGTTCATATTGGTTGAATGGCTAATGCAATGTTGAGATATTGTTGCGACGTGGCGAAGGCGTCGCAGATGTCGCAGGTGTCGCGCGAGTCGGCGGAGCGGCGCGCCACGCCGTCGCCGCAGCCCGACCCCGTGCTGGAGCGCGACCGCCTCATCGACCACCTGCAGACCGAGCTCAAGCGAATGCGGTAACCACCTGCTCACGCGCACGCGCGCACACACACACACACACACGCACGCACGCACGCACGCACACACGCACACACACACACACACACACACACACACACACACACACACACACACACACACACACACACACACACACACACACACACACACACACCGCTAATTTATTTTTTCTTTAATTATCCTTTAGAATAATTTGTTGAGAAACTTCTTCTCAATTTATGTTGATGTGTTGTGTTTTTGGTACATTTTGACTTTTTGAAACATTTTTAATTTTTTTAAATTAAATTGGTACTCCATCCATGAAATTGGAATAAATAAATGGAATATTTTTTTTATGTAACTACGAATATTATGACGACATTCTAATTGTTACTTTGACCTTGGTGGGGGGGGGGGGGGGCGTATGGCCTACAAATAATTGTTCTAAGTCTGGATGTTTGTCCTTGTGCAATTTATGTTTGTAATCTGCCTCCACGATACAGGAGAAAATCCTAGTGTCTACCCGTTTTAAAAAAAATTTAAACTAAATTACGAGGCGACAAGACGCGGCGTCGCGAAAGCTACAATCTATCTGCTAAGCGTGCCATAAATGCTATATATGCCATAATGTGTGCAATTATATACCCAGTTTAATTTTTTTTATAGGATAGGGTGACAAACGAGCACACAGTCCACTTGATGGTAAGTGGATACTGCGACCCATAGACATCTACATCTATCCTCAATAAAGACAGATGCAGATGCGTTTTCACACGTGAGGACTAAGATGGAATGCCTCTTTGCCAGTAAAAAGAGTCTCCGGTTCTCTACACTCACCATACGAAACACAGCAGCGTTAAGCTGCTATTTTACGCTGGTTTTCTGTGAGAGCGTAGTCGTTCCCCGGTCGAGCCGACCCATTCGTGCTACAACTATATTACTAATATAGCTGCAGCATAGCTCTACCACGTAAAAAATATTCTACTGTATGACCATATGGATAAAGTCAATTTTATTTTGAGGCGTTTGCAATAATGAATTGTTTGCATTCAAACAGAACAGAAGTATCGCAACTTGTGCAGGAGCGTAACACGATGTTAGGCTCAATGCGGGAACACTGTACGCGCCTTGAAACTCAACTTCAAGCTACAAAGGTATGATACATTTATTTTTAAATAAATAATAAAGGAGATGAAAATGAAATGTATATAAAAAGGGTTCTGTATTTCTATGTTCTTTATATTTATTTTCTTCATATCACCGTATAAAATATTATTGTTGTTGGTTAGTGGTAAACAAATTAATCGGAATAACATTTCATGTTGTACATAATGATTTTAATCTTTTGTTGCAGACTGAACTAGAGGAAGAGAAAGAAAAAGCCGATACTTTGGCTGCTGAAACGCCAGAAATTAAACGTACGTGGGTGATTTTCAGCTTTAAATTATCTTTTTAATAAATTTAAATAAATATAATAATAATAATAATAATTTGTTTCATAAAACCAAGCTTAAACCATACTATAATTCTTTAGTAAATATGTGTTTATTAATTTTCATTTACAGAAAAATTAGTAGAAACGGAGGAAAAAGCCAAAGTGATCGATGAGAAATTTCAAAAATTAAAAGGCGCCTATACACAATTACGGGAAGAGCACATTACGTTAATTAGACAGGTGCGGTCTCTTATTTTCTTACATTACGTGAAATATAACAACATCAGTTCAAAAGAACATCAGTTCATTATTTTAAATATGTATTATGTGTATAATAATACATAATATGTGTATTTGAAACAATACACTGAAATTCTTATCGTTTTAGAAAGCTGAAGTTGACAAAATGGCCTCCAGTCTACGAGCTGCCGCGGCGCAACACGAAAGTGCCAAAATGATGCTACAGCAACAACTTAACGATAGAATGAAGTAAGTTGACCAAACTAATTCAAACGACTATACTATGCAAGTGTTCAGTGACACTTACGATTTTGACAATTGTCCCTTGCGTATTTGTAGTATTACTGTAACTGCTTCCAATATGTATATAATACAATAAACTAATATGCTTAGCATTATATAATCAGTTAAAGCCTTACAATTTTTTGTTATAACAAACTGTCAAATATGGTGTATATGATATGTTTTATGTCATTGTTTGGAAAATGTCATAAAGATCTCGTGGCCTCTAATAAACGAAAGGATAAGCACTTCGTGGGATGCAAATTGACTTGCCCAGCGTGGCGATTACGAATTGCGGAGGGTACGGGCACAGTATAAATATATGGACAGTACGGAAAATAAGCCTAGTTGAGAGTTGTGTATCGCCTGCAACGCAAAGTCGGGAATTTGTAGTTAGAAAAACCTGAAATTAGGAGCTTATTAGGTGCCAAGTTTAAAAATTAGGTGCTTTAAAATGTTCACCGCAACGAAGTGTTAAAATGAAGTGAGCAACGCAATGAAGTTATTAGATATACGATAAATATTAATAGCAAGAAATTAGTGCTAATTATTTATTAGTAATAATAAAGATCTTAGATCTAAACTTGCAACACCTAACTAGCACTTAATCTTAGATCCCAATTAAATAGCACTAAGGCGGTATCCGTATAACACAGGTCAAAGTAATCGTAAGGGGAAGGTATGGAAGTCCGTGGAAAATACAAAAATTGTAAGGGTATCAAAAAATCCATAATCGCATAACTGCAAAAGTCAGACAAATGACAGCCTGTCATTCATCCATTTTTTCATTAAGTTATTCATTTTTTTTATATTTTTGGCATGGCTTCTGGGCCTTGTGCCATTGTAGCACGAAAGGGTCGGCGCGACGGAGGTAGGACCACGCTCTCACAGAATACCAACGTAAAATAAGCAGCTCAACACTGCTGTGTTTCGTATGGTGAGTGTAGAGAACCGGAGACTTTTTTTATTGGAAACGTGGCATTCATTCTTAGTCCTCACGGGTGACAACACATCTGCATTTTGATTCGCAAACGAGGATAGATGTGCTCGTTTGTCACCCCATCCTATAAAAAAAAAATTTGTAAAACACGTTTCGTCTCCAAAAGTCTATTGAGAATGATAAACATAGTAGGTAACATTACTTTTTTTCCTGGCTTTATTTGAAAATTCAGTTATGCGATACGAAATAAGCAAAGTAAAAAAATACAATATTTTAAGATATTTTACATCACTTTGACACGCGTTTGAAAATTTTTAGGTCAAGACTTTACTTGTTTCTTTCAACAGTTCGTTGCGGTGAAATTAGCACCTGAAAAGCCTCTAATTTGGGCTTTTTCTAAAAGCAATTTTGATTCTATGCTGATTTTCAGAAAACCTGAATTTTGCATCTGCATTGTTCTGAATAACGATTTTATTTTATTAGGGACGCCTTGTCATTGCCTATACTTGCAGCACCTAATTAGCACTTAATTCCTTGCTTTTAATGTTAATCGTATATCTAATAACTTCATTGCGTTGCTAGCGATACATTTTGCTAGCAACGCAAATTTTAACAATTTTGATGTTTTTGATATAGTTTTTTTTTTTACATTTTTGTTTTGTAGTAATCAATCAATCGGATTTAAATAAATAGCTTACAAATACTATTTCAAAAGGTAATGTCATGGCGTTGGTTAATCGCAGCGAAAGACAATAGTTTAAATACGGAAAACAATTTAATATTAACACACAACAACTTGTAGAAGTATAGATTTTTAACTTTGTCATTACGGCGTAACCTTTTACAAGTATTGGCGGGAGCGTATGCTAGCCACGGTTGGACCAAAACGTTTCGGGCGCTCGTCGGAGCGGGCGCGCGGTAGTCGCCGCAGCGCAGGTTGCGCGGGGGCAGGGCTCATGAGGGGCTGCGAAACGTACCGTGTTTCGTATCTATAAAATTTAAATACTTGCGCATTACATTAAAAAAAAATACCTTTATTCATCATTATTACAAATTATTTACAGAAAAAAAACTATGAAAATGACACACATAACGAAAAAATTGATACCGATTGGAACCGCCATCTTGGATTTACATTACGACAGCACTATCGGCATCAACACCCTCGAAAACCATGAAAATGACACAGACTTTATAATTCGATAACGATTATAACAATAAATCATTCTTACCTTTCAAAATCAGCGGGAAGTTTAAAGTACAATAACTCCGGTTTTGATGAAGCCGAGTTCAAGCAGCCGTATACTACGCAATATGTTCGTGGCATTTTTAAAAAGATTGCGGAAATAATCTTAAACGTGACCACTCGTCTTGACGCGGCACTCACTACCATAGATAATATACTATATAGGGCACTCACTACTGAGAACTCGTCGTTGCGCATGTTTGTGTGAGTGTGCCGTTTCGAGCGTTTGTAGGTAGTTTCCGTTCTGTTCCTACTATATATACTGTGGTACGGGCCCATCCCATATCCTTAGTGGGGCTGATCATATTGAATAAGAAATATTAAAGTCAACTTTCTCAGGCATGAGATTTCTTTCCCAAAATATGAATTATATTGATAAGTGAAAATTATAGACAAAAATACAAAATAAACAAGATATTTTAAATCGTAAACATACGTTTTTTAATACTTCATGCTATAGCTTACTATTTTCGATTTAATTATGAAATATTTATAAACATAAAAAGTTGAATTAATTAAAATTTAGATGACACTTTTTTTAAATTTCATTCTTTATCGGATGCTATAATATCTAAAGCAATACTTTGCATGAGCTTTAATTTATCTGCCGTATATTCAGTGTTTTTCAGTCATTCTGTATTGAATAATTTGCCATTAATGATTCCGTGTTCAACCATTGTCTTGTACTCTAGGTCTCTTTAATTTATAATAATATTACCCATTATTAATATGAAGTATAATGTATGTTTTCATATACCTTAGAGATGTGGAACTTCTTCAACAAAGCGCATCGTCCAGTGAAGAAATAGAGGCATATAAAAGTGAAATTTCCAATCTCCGAACTGAATTGGAAAATTCCAGACAGAAAGAGGTTGAGTTAGAAAATTTGAAAGCTTCTATGGAAACATTGGAAATTGAACATAAAACTGCAACAACCGAACAACAAGAAAAAGTTTTGTTACTGACAAATGAATTGAAAGAAGTCAAAGAAAATTTTGAGAAAGTTCAAAAAGAAAAAGAAGAAAGAGATACGGTATTAAATAAGACTAAAGAAGAACTATTAGTTATAAAACAGAAAAATGGGGAAGAGTTAAAGAGGGTGCTGGGGGAAAAAGAAGCAGCCATACAAGAAATTGCCGAATTAAAACAGCAGTATCAACAGGAGAAAGAGGTCAGAAATATGTTTTATATTCAATTCAAAATGGTGGATATGCAACATGTAACTCAGTTTTCACATTATCCGATCCGATATCATTATAGGAAGGCGTTGCGCGATACCTAATAACGATAATATCGAATCTACGCTTTCACAAACTTCTAATAACGATATGATTTTGCTAGTTCTTTAATAGCGAAGTACGATATGCGAATTACAAACAACTTTATTCGTTGTATTTATATTTGAGGTCCAAAACTTATCTGTGTACAGACAAATATAATTAGTCTCTATATACAAGGTATTCAAAGGGAGCATTTTATACTCTTATTAATAAAATACAAAGGCATGAATGAATCTACATATGATTATTTGCTTTTTCTGCATCTAGATTTTTAGTAGTACTACTTTAAAAAGTAAAAAAATTTATAAATATAAACATAATTTGAAGAGATTTTTTGTTATTAAAATATTTTTTATCCAAAACAGAACTTGATTTTGATTGTGTGGAAAATGAGTTTCTTTTCACCCGACATCGAAACAGAGTCCAATAAAGATTTCGGGTCGTATAATCGAGAAGTGCAGTTACTCTAACATATAGAACAGTAGCGGGGTTGCATGGACTATGCACAATATTAACAATGAATTAACCTGCATGCACATATGTTTGAGAAATGGAGAACTAAAATTTTAATTATACCGTTTATATTATAACTCTATCGACAATAGCGTGAGACATAATGTAAATGTAAAGATCATTATCAAAAACTTTTTTATTAATTAATACAAAATAAAAAGTAAAATTCGCTCTCGAAATGTACTTGCAAAAAGGAATTGGTTATATGTTTTGACTGCGAAATAAAATGATCTTTTAAATTTTTGAAAAATGAGGATTGAATATCAATGCTTTTAATTTTATAGTCTGTCGATTATATAAACAAAAATTGCAATTTTTCAACATTTTATTCATATAGTATTAATGGCGGCGCGAGTCGTTAGTACGGAGTGACAATCGTTGCGACAAGTTCTGCGCATATATACTTCTCAGGGAATGTACAGCAATGACACACGATTTTTATCTACTGACAGGGAAAACGCATAAAAAAAAAAAAACAGAAATTCACCGTGCACGCTCCGCGCCCTTGCAATGCTGGGCAGGGGTGGAAACATTTAGTGCGTGTTGCGATATAAACTGCGAGCACTGCTCAGTGCTCTTACTGGTGAAATATTCGTTCCGTTATGGACTGCCAGTATACTGCCGCAGTACCCTAGGGAAATACATGACGTCATAAATTGCCGCCATTCTTGTACTGTGAGCACTGGCGCTTTCGAGGTAAAGTGCTCTCCGAATTCAATTGAAAATAAAGTCGGGCATTAAGTTTTAGAAGCAACAACATTCAAATAATATTTTTTTGTTGTTGAACAGAAAACGTGTACATGATAAATATTTTAATTTTGAAACAGTGTCAAAAATGGGGATGACAGTTTACTGGACTGCGTACCCTTTTAAATAGTAACCAGTATAACAAACTAAAAAGGAACGGCTTCACAGTATACTGAATTGACGTCACCCCTTACAGTGGTCACAGTGTATATCGGAACACACCCTAAATGAACACGAAAGAGCGCTGCGCCGCACCAAGCGCCAATGCGTGTAAGCGGCTTAACGTGACCTCATAATAATCAAAAATTATTAGAAATCGGCTTTCTTCAAGCTGTTCTCGTTAACGCCAAGCTTGTCATAATGACATTTTTTTTGATATCGGCAGATGTAGAACTCGTTTATCTCGACTATTATCACGGTTGAGTGCTTTATTATACCCTATAATATTACGCCTCTTTAAAAAATATTGTTACATTTAAATATGTACTCATTTTAACACATTATAATATGTAAATAAGTCATTGTGATGTGTTAACAAAATATTGGCAAAGCTTTAAAACACAATATACATAGTTTTTTATGCAAACACATTTTATTGTCGGGCTATATTTAATGGCGCAATGTTTCTTCTTGTTGTGTTATATTATTCGTCTCTATTACAAGTTTTGTAAAATAAAATGGAGACCATAAAAATCTTAATTTTTTTTTATTAAAAGAATTATTATATTTTAAGCTTTTAGTGAATATCGAATTTTTACACGACATATGCATTATCTTGACCCCGAGATGTGCTTTATGCTTCCACAAATAAATTATTTCTTTTTTGTTTATAATTTAGCCTGTAGGATATAATTAAGCATTTAGGTTTAAGCTAATTTTCTCCTATATTTGTAATAAAAATAGTCTAAAGGAATTGCAACTAAATCATGTTACTAACAACCGTTAAATTGCATACTTATGGTAGCCACATACGTAAAAATATGTACATGCACTAGTTTAGCCTTGCAAAAGTATACAGTTACGTATGTTTAAAAAATATTGCGCAAATTCTCTATACTTGTTCAAGGTTCTAAATACTTTCAATTTCCAAATTCAAAAAATCCAAAAAATTCTAAAAGGTGCTAATTTGCGTTTAACCAAGTTTGCTTGAACGTGTGTGTGTGTCACTTTCTTCTAAACATGTGCAGAATATATCAATGAGGAGAAAATAGTGATGTATATCTTTTTAACTCTCTGGCTCAGTTGATAACCGATGACAAATAACGAAAACTGAGTTAAGATGATATGAGAAGATAGACTAACTTTTGTAAACCATCAGCTCAGATTTATTCATTTGTTGATCAGCCTTGTCAGTAGCAAATATAAGTCAACTATTGCTAAATCGTCTTCAATGGATTGACACCACTATCATAACCAACATGTCTGATCCGTCACTTTCACGGAAATGATATCGTTCAAGTATACTTAAGCCGTCCATGGTCACTACCAAAGTGATTTATAATTGTATGCAAGTCTAAACTTACACATGCATATTATTACGTGTGGCTTCCATTAACAATTTTTGCAATGTACGTAGACTTGTACTCTGTAGCTATGCATAACTCGTTAATAAATTTTGCTTTGATCGCATAAATAAAATAAGTTAATAATTTTTATATTAACATTCTCTACTAATCTGCAAGTTTAATCAAACATGAATTAACAGTACTAATTGTAACTCTCTGAATCACACAGAGGTTAGACCAAGAAGTATTAGTAAATCAAGATCTTCATATCAAGCTTATTGAAAGAGATTCTGAAATTAAAAGTACCTTGATCAAACTTGAGGAGATTCATGTTGAGTTTGAAAATGAAAAAGCGAATTATGATAAAAAGCTTATCAATCAGTCTGCAGAAATCATAAGTCTTCAGGAAAAAATGGATGAATGTTTACAAAGTAAAAAGTATACTGAAGATCTTGTTGAACAGCTTAAGGCAGATATAAGTAATCTAAAAATTAAATTGGAAGAAAAAGACGTTGAAATAACACGCCTTGAAAGTAATATAAAAAAAGTTGACTATGATAAGCATACTGCTTTAAGTCAGTTGCAAGATAAAAATCAAGAGATCTCTATTTTAGAAAAAAAATTAACTGAAACTATTAAAGAAAAGGACTTGGAATTTGAAAATGTACAACAATTACTTATTGAAAAAACAGATTGCTACCAGGCACAAATCGCAACTCAAGAAAGCCTAATGAATAATATTTCTAATTTGAAAATAATCATTGCAAATAAAGATAAACAAATAGCTGAATTAAGTTCAAAGTTAGATGAGAATTTATTGTGTATTGAGAAAGAGAGAAAACAATTTGAAGCAGATCATAATAAATATGAAATAGAATTATCAATAATGCAGGAAAAGTTACAACACATATGCGACTCTAAAGAAGAATTAATTAAAAATTTTAAAGAAATCATATCGGAAAAAGATAAACAAGTAATCGATCTCAATGTAGAAGTAAATAAATTATCGGTCGAAGTATCGCGACTAAATGAAGAGCTAAACAAGGCTAGTGCTGAATTAGAAATAGGAAAAAATGAGCTGTTAAATTTAAAAGATGAATATGAGCATATCATTTCTAAAAACGAAGCAAATTTAGATTTAAAGAATAATGACTTGCGAACACTTAACGATGAAATTAATAAACTGTCTTCTGAAAAGAAGGATATTTTAGCAGAAAAGGAGAGTCTAATTAACGAATTAACAAATCATAAACAGGTCAGTGTATTGTTGCGTGTTGGTTTGCGTGTATTGTATTCATTAAAATTAAATAACAGTTATTTTAATAGGTACTGGAAAACCGTATAAGAGAAAAGGAAGAAACAATAGAAACATTAAATAATAAAGTATATATCTTGCAAAATGAAAAAATTGAAATTGAAAATAAGTTGAACGATGAAATAGATCTGCTAAAACAAGAAAAGAAAGATTTCAAACACATTACAGACACAGAACTGAAAAAACTTCAGGACGAAAATATTTGTTACATACAAATGCTTTATGCGAAAGATGCAACCTTAGGACAAGTAATGAAAGAGAGAGATGAAATAATGGGTGAATTCGCTGAGTTAGAACAGTTAAAAATTAAGGAAAGAAATGATATGGATGTCATGTTATCAGTGAAAGAGAAGGAATATCAGGTTAGGCTAATGTTGGTAATGGATAACTGTTGGTTTTCTGGGCATAATTGATAAATAAATTAAACCTGTTATTGTATGACTATTGTAATCAAACCCGGTGGTGGCATTTTTTGTTTGTGTGCGCTTGTTACTGATACTAATCTATTGTAATTCTCCATATTTGTCGATATCAGATCGTGCTGTGTTTTTTGTTTTGGTTTAAAGTTCAGTGCAAAAGTTATGAAATTAATTGATGTTTTTTGTTTGAAATTTCTTCTTTGAAAATTCTTTACTACCATTGCTTACAATTTACTTTCTCATATTTTTTTTTGTATAATATTCTGTAGATAAACTATTCTTCTAAATGTTTGCATGAGGCTATATTTTCTAATGGCATGTATTATTTTTATTCTCTACTTCGGCTACGGTTTGGCTCTGCATCTTCGCAATACGCTGCATGTGCTGGATTTCGACTGATTACGATCTTCTGTACTGGAATTTTGAACACGTAATCCCCGTTACGTTAAGTATTTTTCTTTAATTTATTTTTGTTGCAATATTCTTAAAACATAGACGATAAACGCTAGGCTAGAACACACAGAGACAGAGCGATTAAACGCTGAGTGTGAATTACAGGACTTATTGCAACAAAACACAGTGTTAGAAGCAGATGTAGCGTCCTTAAAAGCCCAACTGCAAGAGGCGCAAATGGAAATTAAGCGACGTGAGTATTTCATTATTTTTAAATTAACAATTGAAAAAACTTTTAGTTTTTGGAACTCATTATTTTGAAGTATTGAGTTTTTGAAACTTAAAAACTGGCAACTTAGAAAGAGCAGTGCTTTGCTACAACCTAAAACGGACTGAAATTCAAATTTAAGGTTCGCACAGACACTGCTATAACATATATTTTATTTATTTTATGAAATAAAGGTGACCAACGAGCCAAAGGAGTCCACTTGATGGTATGTGGATGCTATAACCCATAGGCATCTGTATCGATGATTGATTAACAAACGACCCCTGAGGACTTAGATAGAATGCCCCGTTACCAGTGATAAGGGTCTCCGGTTTTCTACATGGACAATACGAAACACAGCATACACAGCTGTCGGTCAAGCCGACCCATTCATGTTGCGACTATGTATTATTTATTTATTTATTACCAAAAGGTTGAATAAAAAATACTAGTACCCTCGTAACCATTAAGTTTCTACAAAAATCCTTATGTAGTATATTAAGAATTTAGTACGAGGCGGTTTTTGTCTTGTAATAATCTTTGTTAATGGTGGTAGGTTGACGTCTCTTTTCTGACTCATCGTCCGGGTCTCAGTTCTCATGGTTAAAAAGCAGACTGAGTCTATTCACTTTCTAATATATAGCGAAGGTGACTCGTCTGTTTATTGCTTACTGCAACGATACTCTAGCGTTGATATTTAAGGTCTAGATTAAAATATTATTAACAAACAAATAATAAACTTTTTTTTAACGTTCACTCATTAGGATTTTCTCATTTATCATTAGTTGTTTTACACATATGTTCCATTACATCCATTCTATTACAGTCTATAACAATTTACTGCTTAACATAGGCCTTCCCCATAAATTGCCTCATTTGCTATAGTTACCGCGCATGGTAGGCTCGCTTTTAACAGGAAAATGCTATGGCCTCCTGCGGGCTATTATATCTATCCCGCCCAGAAATCGTATTTGTATGGCCTACAAATACTTGTTCCGGGTGTGGATATTTGTCCTTTTGCAATTTATGTTTGTAAACTGCCTCCATAATAAGGGTAAAATCCTAGTGTAGAGATAACGTTTATAAAACAAAGAACAAAAGACATCAAAATGATAGTAACTTGTCGTTGGCATTGCTTCGTATGAGCTCTTACAAAAAAGCTATATAGTATACGACGTACGCAATGTACTATCAATACACTTATATTACTTACAATTATATATCATACAAGTTACTATCACTTTGATATCAACGAAGATAGTGAATAATCCTGCTGAACTACTTGGCCGATTGAGGTCATAATTGTATACACAATTTGTTTGGTCTGTATAGTTGTTTCATTTTCTTTATAGGAGAGGCGGCAAACGTGCATGCGGCTCACCTGATGGTATGTGACTACCGCCGCCCATAAACAACTGCAACACCAGGGATATTGCAGATGTGTTGCCGGCCTTTTAAAAAGGAGTAGGCTCTTTTCTTGAAGGCCCCTAAGTCGTATCGGTGTGGAAAAATTGCTGGTGGTAATCGATTCCACAAGGAAGTTGTGCGAGGAAGAAAACATCTTCTAAATCGCACTGTGATGAACCGCCAGTCATCCAGATGGTACGAATGGTATCGCGAGTTTTGTCGCGATGTGCGATGGTGAAATTGAGCGGCTGGAATTAGTCCGAACAATTCCTCAGAGCACTCCCCGCGGTACATGCGATAAAATACGCAAAGAGTAGCAACATCTCTACGCAGTGCCTGTGAGTCAAGCCGATTGGAAAGAACTCGTTCGTCAACGATTCGAACCGCCCTGTGCTGGATGCGGTCAAGTGGAGGAAGGAGCTGGCACTGGGGAGCCCATGCCCTGAGATGGGAACAGTATTCCATGTGAGGCCGAACCTGCGCCTTGTAAAGTTGCAGGCGGTGTGCCGGCATGAAATACTGTCCCGCTCTGCTGAGCACGCCAAGCTTTAAAATATTTTTGTCTCATGTCATAGTAATTTTTGAAGTACTTAACATTTCATGACACATAAAGTGTAAAAAAAAGAAATAATTATTAAAACCCATAATTTTTTATTGTGAATACTTTTTGTACTTTTTATGATTGTATTCGCTTGGTTAAAGCTTCAAAAAAATAAATATATTTAAAAGGAAACATACAAAAAAGGGTTTTAAAATTATTATAATGTAATATGAAATTCTGGGTGATTATTAATTAAAATTCGTATATCTCAAGACCTGTTTATTTTCGGCCATACATATGGGGGGTTAAATTTGTAGCATTTTGACTCCTCTATCACGCCCTGCCAGGAAGTTGTAGAGTTCCCAATAACCCTGTATAGACGCGCCTTCAGGTACTTTAGGTTCTGCCTAATATCAGTAAAGATAATAAAAGATAAACATAATATGCCAATGTAAAATAATAACAATTTACACAAAGAAATTACCCTACTTTACATTGTGACATATTAAAAGTCTTCCTATTACCTAAACAACCATCTATGTGCAGAATTACAAAGCTTATCATTTTAAAAGTGTATTTATGTTTTGTCTCTGCATGGTCTAAGCAACGTGAACACTATACCATCTTTTTTATTATACAGTAGCGAATTGGCGACATTGATATAACCTCAAATATTTTTAATTTTTTAAAATGCGCACCGACCGCCGTAAGTCAACAATGACTAAAATTGCAATTAACCACTTTAGTGTTGCCTTGCGTTAATGAAGCTAAGTTTCTTACGTACTGTAAAAGTACTTACTAAGTATATTACTGTTATAGTTATAACTATTTAATTTGTTAAATTTTAATTTCAACAGAAACTTCAAGATTAGTGACATGTGCCGGTGAAACAGCCCTTGAAGTAACAAACAGAGCCTTAGAGACGTTTGAACAGGCCAGTCTTCGTGACACTAACCGCCTCGCAGCTGAGTTAGCAGAAAAAGCCTTAGGCGAACTAACAAGGAATACAGAGGCTAGTGCTCTTTTCTTATGAGATTTTTCTTTTCTTACTTTTACTTTCTTATAATATAGTTTTTTGCCTAAAAAGATCTCTTTAATTTTAGTTTAATAAATATTTAGGGCAATGTATAAATAATAAAAAAATATTTTTTATATAAACACTGTAAACGCTCACAGGTCTTAATTAAAACGAGTGTGAATTTAATGGCGCATTTAATTCAACGCAATTTTTTGTTATCACATTAGATCAGCGGTAACGAAGAAACCGTAGCAAAATCAGCTATATTTGCTGCACACAACACAGCACAACTATCCAGATATATCATGGAAATTTGTAGTGTTGCTACGGATATGGAACTCTCAGACAGTAAGTACTTTATAAAATATCCATAAATTAAAGTTAATTGTATGTATTTTTTAATTTATTTGTTCATACAAAACTGCAATCAGTTTGTCGGCGAATACACGTTTTTAAAACTATACATTACCCTGCACTATCACCTACAATAAAAATACAATTAATTATAAAACATTCAAAAAGATTAAAAAGAAAAAATAATAATAGCAAAAGCAATCAAAAAATGTATACTTAAGGCAATAATGTGAAGTTATAGATGAGTTAATAATAATTTTTTTAGAGAGAATTTTAAAAATACATTGCTTAATTAGTTTTTGTTTAGAGACGTTTCTCTTAACCATTTTTTTAGTTATAAATTCTGAGTTCAATGAATTTATTTAAACGCTGTCCATAGTTATCATCCCAACTAGGCTTTCCTAGATTTTTCTCCCTTACCTTACGCGTGTTATAGGTGTTAATAATAGATACTTCATACTTCTCAGTGCAATAATGTTCTATGCATAGAATTATTACGCATAGAATACTAGTACGCGCACCGAAAGTGAAGCAAGTAAAACTAACGCGAAACCGCGTTAGTTGACTCAGCGACGCGTCAGTGCGCAACGTCACGTCTTACGGAGAAGAGCTCGCGAAGAATTGTAAAAATTACCATTTGTGTTGTAAAATATTGTCACAACGGTGATGATAAACATAAAAGAAGTGATGGTATTACATTTCACATATAAGTTTATACATTTAATTCATTATAAGTACGTAAAACTAAAAAAATACTTACCTAAGCTCTCATAATACAAATGTTGCTAGTTGTGGGGAAAAATCACAATTTTGTGTTAAAAATATTTATTTTCTATTTGTGTTTAAAACGTTTAATCGCAACGCTCTGTGTAAAACTCAAATGTTTATATATAGATACCTACTTCTCTAAGTGTTAACATTATATTAACAATGGGTGCCTATTTAAAACTTATACGGAATGATCAGTTAATCGCGATTCGTCGACGCCATTTTAACGCGACTATTTTATTTTAATTGCTTTTTTATTGACTAAGGTTACGTTTTAGAGTATAGAATAAAAACTTTTTTATTTACATCATGAGATTATTAATAAGAACGCCTTTACTAACCAGATGTCACTTGACACCCAATCATTAACCAGATGTTACGTTAGACCCAAACATAGCCTATTTTAACCGACTCCCAAAAAGAAAGGTTATCAATATGTATGTACACTGATTTCTAAGCTTGATCAATTCGTATATACATGCTGAAATTTTTGTGGTTGTTGTCCCGCAGCCAAATTATACTGTCTCGATAGTAGAGTCAATTTATTAAATTAAAAAATATTAAAATTAAAAAAGGGCAGATTTACTATAGTAATACCTCACAAGCTATTCGGGCGTCCAAACTAGTTTATGTCGTATCACTACGCTTGAGAGTTCATGTTATGAACATTTATTAGTGGTCCTTCACTGTGTAGGGCGCCCGTGGTAGCACGTTCGATAGACGTAACACTATATTACGTCCAGCGAATTTTTTTTTCAGACTTTATTATAGTAATTCGGTATAAGCTAGCCTGTACGCCCGAACTACTTGCGAGATATTGCTATTGGTTTGAGATCGCATTCGAGTATTGTTTTTCTCGATTGTAAATCTGCCATTTTTACATCTATTCTATTGTACTACTAAGGCAAAATCATTTTACTTCGGGAAAACAACCATTAAAATTTCAGCGTGTGTATTGGATCAATCTGTGTGTACATCCTTTCAAAAAAAAATCTAAATCGGTTTAGAAATTGTAGAATTCTGAGGTAAAAAGCATTAAAAAAATACACCGAATTGATAACCTCCTCTCTTTTTGAAATCGGTTAAAATTAAACATTACACGATGTGCTTATTGTATTCGAGAAAATTAATTGTGTTTAATAATATTCTTAAATTTTATTACGTCTGCATTTTTTACCATTAATATATGTATAATAAAGTTATATTGGTAACATCATTATCGTGTTTATTTTATTCAATTTTATATTCTCATAAAATACTTCTCCTAAATAATATTCGTACGTAACACGTAATCTTTATTATATCGATTTCTTTAAATTAATCAAAAAATAGTGATTTGCACAATTTTATTGCAAACGCCAGAAACTGGTATCACTGAATGGCGTGTATGTGTGCGTGTGACGAGCGTAGGCACATTCGACTCGCGCCCACTAACATAATGACTTTGCATCATTTTAGCGCTCGTGTTTTGTACTGGACTGCGTTTCTATGCGTAATAATTCTATGGTTCTATGCATCTACAGTACATATAAGTCAATGGTTTTATGGCTGTTAAATATTTAACTCGTGTTTCAATTGGCATCTGTCCACTGGGCGGTCGGATCGAGCCACATCGCAACTTAAAAATCCGGCTGCTATACATTTGGTATAATATAACTCTGTTCACTAGAGGTTGGAAGGAGTAAGGCGAGCAATCCGAGTTTGATCCCCACCGACACCAATGAAATTGTTAATTGGAATTTCGGGTGTTAACTTACTATGTACTCGGAGGTGTCTGAGAAATAAATGTAATTGTATAATTAAAAAAAAAAACTATTTTGAAGATGTGTGAAGTCCGCTTACACGCGTTGAGGCAGCACCGTTGACAATTCCTTGACCTTCAACCTAAACAACAACTTTTACATTTTAAGTATAAAAATATTTGCACGATTTGTAATTCGGTCCGTCTTTATTTTACGTTATGTTTGAAAAGCTTGGTATGAATACACGGGTTTAATATATTGTACAGAATTGAGTAACGAGTGCCGCGCGATGCTATCAGCGACAAAGCAGTGCCTGGAGTCGTTGCGAGGGGGCGAGCTGGAGGCGAGTGCGTGCGAGGGCGCGCGGGCCGGCGTGCGCGCGGCGGCGGCGCGCGCGGCGGCGGCGGACGCGGAGCCCGCGGCGCGCAGCGTGGACGACGAGCTCGCCACCATGGACAGCGCCATCGAGCACGCCGCCGCGCAGATCGAGGTACTGCACGACCCTAAATATTTGAATAGCCCTGTTACAAATCTATGTCTAAAGCAGACAATTCTATTTCATGCTTATAATCGTGTTCTCTATTACACGAAAAACACGGACTATACAATATAGATGATATTAAGTTATTTATTCTAGTATAATGTCACTTTAATCTAATTATAAAAAATCTCAATAATCATAATTACAGTTATTTTCAAAGAGTAGCCAAATTTTAAACTTAAATTCAAATTTTAAATAATGATACACTGTTATTGCAGTTTTTGAGAAAATACCAGTAAATAAAGCTTTTCTACTTTTATTTGAAATTATCCCAAATTTAATGTGATTTATGGGCAACAACTACGCGTACGCGCGGTCCTCTGTGTGTGATTCAATTCATTATAATTTTGCCAAAGGTTCGACCCTTACGAATGTATGTGCGCGTAGTAAAATAGTATATTTCATTATTACGAGTGCGTAATGCCTGTCATTGCAAAATGTTCGGACAAATATCTACCCGAGCCGAGGCGCAGCCGAAGGTGAGGGTTGACAGTCGGAACAAGTTGCAATGACGGTTTCGCACGTGTACTGAACAACTATTTTTAATACAGTTGCGAAAAAATGAAGCAATTTAATAAAATAATAAAAACACAATAAACTCAACTAACTAATCATTTATTTCTTATGAAAGTTATAATTCATATATACATTGAAATTGGTACAGTTTTTATACTAACTGGGGAAGTTTTAGGTTGCATATTTACTGTTTGAGACAAACTATTATTAATTTCGTATGATTGTTCATGTATATTTGTCAAAGGTATTATTCAATGGCGTTTGCTAGTTGATGGTATTGGATCTAATGAATTATCATTATCAACGAAGGTAGATGGACAAACATTCTATTCAGTATTGTCACGTGAAGGAGACGGACTGGACTTTAAATTAATGGATTGTGTGATTTTTTTCTCAGTTTCTAGTATGTTGTTTAATGAATCAGCAATATAGCCTTCTGCAACTTTGTCTGACTTCGTACCTCCTAGTCGCTTTAAGGACGTCAAATTGACTCCTGAATCTGCCAATAAAGTAGCAGAGGTCCTCCTGAAGCTGTGCCCAGTATAATACTTAGCATCCGGTAGACCAAGAAACGTAGTTATTTCTTTTGGCATATTACCAAATTTGTTTATCCCGATTGCTTGAGCTGTACACTTCCCTTTTTTGATAATTTTAGAAAAAAAACGATCGGTTTTTGCTTTTTGGGACCGCTGATTCATATATTTTTGCACTATTCTAAGAAAATCTCCTTCAACAACAAAGCTTCTCGGTATCTTATTTTTGTATTCGGAATCCTGATTAGTAGCGTTTTTCCATGGGCTTCAATATCTTTTAAAGTAATATTGGCTAACTCCTCTTTGCGGCAAGCTCCAACAACGCCCAAAATCAGCGCAACCTACAAAAAAAGGGATTAGATTAATATTTTTTTAAATAATATATTGACTGTATTTTGCGATTTCGTAAACTGAATACTAAAAAAAATTTAAGTATTTCTTAGTAAATTACTTTTATGGCTAAATAACCATCATCGGGAGCTTCGTTCAAAAACCTTTCCACTTCATTCGATGTTAATATTTTCGACTTTTTAGTTGTAAAACCGTCTGATTGTCGTTTTAAGAAAGCATTTAGTTTTAGTTATTCACTTATATCCACATTGTTCCTTATTTTCAGCATACTTTTTATCATCGAAAACCTCGACTATAACGTAGAAGGTTTTAATTTTGCTGAGAGTTCGGAGAAGTATGCCAACATAACATTTTCTGAAAAACTATTTGCTTTTTTTCTCTTCTCTCCACGCAATAAATTCGTCGTATGTAGATATGTAGCGACTTTTTGACTTTTCCGGTAAAATGTTCTCCGAAGCATTTTGTGCAATTATACTGAGTTCCGGTGGTGTTAATTCAAATTACTCATTTTGTGCAACCAACAACTAAACTAGCAAAGAACATTTTTGGAAAATGGCGCCAGCGGTAAAAGAATATAAGCAGAGATTTTTTTTGCTTCTTCACCCATTCTGGGTAGGCAAAGGGAACTATGCCCATACAGCCAAGTCTTCAGTAGAATTTTTTATTGATATGAAATGAAAATGAAATTTAATGAGATGAAATGAAATGAAACCTAACCTAACTCATTGAATCAAATCATTAAACAGATTTGAATTGAAAACATTAAACTGATATTGAAACAAATTAGTAGCTTCTTTTTGGAAATATTTGCATGAATCATGAAAACTTCTATGAATTTTTTCTAGTAAAAACTTCGTGGTTGGTTTTTTCATTTTATAGACATTATTTTGACAGTTGGGAAAGAGAACGCACGAGTTCGGAGAAGGTAAAGAACATTACCATGCATTCGGAGTGTAAAAGATAAAAAGGACCGAATGTTTGAGATTTTTTTTATTAATTTTTCTTCACCATTTACCTATATTACTTATTCTGAACCTTCTCTGCGAATTTTTCCGGTTATTGCGAAATAACCGTGTATATTAAAAATTTAAAATTAAAAAATTTGTACAACCGACTTCAATATAAATTATTAAGAATAAATCAAAAACTATTGGTCAGACCTTGATCAAATTTTTATGGAACCACATGTGAACCACTAGCTTTCAAATATAAAAAGAATCATCAGAAGCGGTTTACCTAGAAAAAAGTTATGAGGTATAACACATAAAAAAAATACAGTCAGATTTAGTACCTCCTCCTGTTTTAAGTCGGTAGAAAATATATTAAATAAAAAAAGATGTATTATTATTTTTGTACACGTGTACTTGCTTTACAATATTATATAAGTATTATTCATAATATTGAGAAACAAGTACATATGGTATATCCAAATTACAAAATATAGATAATGTAATTATTATGTTAGTCCTTTAAACATTTTATCAATAATATACTGATAGTAAGGATAGATCCTATTTTCATAAATTATATTTCAGTCACAAGTTTATATATTTTTTTCAATATGATATTGTGATTGTAGTCATCGTTAACGTGCGATTGTCCCCTTAATATTTTAGGAGATGCTGGCCGCCAGCCGAGCCGCTGACTCAGGAGTGAAACTGGAAGTTAACGAAAAAATCTTGGACGCTTGCACTACGCTTATGGCCGCAGTAAAAGTACTAGTCCAGGATGCGAGGAAATTGCAGAACGAACTTGGTGATCCTAAGACACGGCAAAAAATGTATAGAAGGAACCCGCAGTGGTCAGAAGGACTCATCTCTGCCGCGAAAGCTGTCGTGTTTGCTGCCAAGCTTCTAGTGTAAGTATATTCGTCTTGAATTTATTTGTTTGCATTGGTGTGTAATATGTCGCATTGTGTGCACACTTATTGTCACTATTGGATGTTATTTAGTATATATTACATTCGCGAATTGTATTGTTTTCCTTAACATTCATATTTTAATTCTTTATACTTGGTTAACCATCATTTAATTTACACTTAATGCTTATAGTATTTTAGCTTTGATTATATTCTATAAAACGTTTTCCTAAAATTAATGATACTCCCAGGCGCGGTCGCAGCCTGAAGTTTTGGAGGGGGTCACTAAAATAAAATATGTTGAGTAAATCACACTTTATTGCACAATGCACAATTTTATAGCACACATTATAAAACAAATGTAGGTCTTCTATTTTTATTGGCAAATCAGGTGATAATATTTGAGACGTCTGGGTCTATGAATGAATATGTAGAAGAGCTAAACCTGTCAGCCTCTCTTCTAACATGTTTGCTCTCAACCAAGATTTTACATGTCTTAGCGTAAAAAATGATCTCTCTAGCTTGTAGGAAGAGTTGTCTGAATTTTCAGCAGTTATTTTTTTTATAGGATAAGGGTGACAAACGAGCACACAGTTCAACTGATGGTAAGTCACAAAATACCAGCTTGAAGTAGAGGTTTACCTCTGCGTTTCGCTTGGTGAGTGCAGGTGGCCTGAGGTTCAATTCGCCTCAGCAGTCTGAAGGTACAGACTTGTCCCTCCTTTGGCTACGCGTAGTAAGCGACGACCATCCGCGTGTCTACGGGTGCCGCTATAGGTCTGAGAGCGGTAATGTCGAGACAGACCAACTCATCAACCACGTCCAAATGGCTACAGATTCCTTGTTACAGCAGATCCCATCCGCAGATATCGTGATCCTTGGCGATTTTAACGCCCACCACTCCTAATGGCTTTGTTCACGTTCAACCGATCATGCGGGGAGATCTGTTTATGACTTAGCTTTGGCATATGGTCTTACACAGCTACTTACTTCGCCTACGCGGATTCCAGACGTAGAGGATCATGCACCTTCCCTGTTGGACCTTCTCCTGACCTCTCATCCAGACGGATATCAGGTTTCCGTCGACGCTCCTTTAGGCTCGTCGGACCATTGTCTTGTCCGGAGTGTGGTGCCACTCACACTAACGTCGCGGTTGCATTCTGCAGTTTGCCGTGTTTGGCACTATAGGTCGGCCGATTGGGATAGAATGCGGTCTTTTTTTGCATCCTACCGTTGGGGGCAGGTTTGCTTGTCGCCGGAAGATCCCAGCGTTGTTGCTGATGTGGTACTTCAGGATATGGAACTTTTTGTTCCATCCTCTGTGGTGCCCATCGGAGAGAGATCCCAACCATGGTTTGGTCGCTCCTGTAAAATAGCATCACGCTATAAGCAGGAGTGCTGACGGGCCTGGGCTGACGCATCAACGTCTCGGGATGTAAACACCAGCGCTCTTAAAAAGAAGTATAATTCCGCCGCCAAGTCCTTCAAAAGAGTCATTGCCAATGCAAGATCTGAGCACATCGGCAGAATTGGCCAGAAGCTAGTTCGTCTTCCTTCGGGAACCCGTGCATTCTGGTCTCTCGCCAAGGCTGTCCAAGGGAACTTCTGTCAGCCATCTCTTCCATCTCTGCACAGAGAGGACGACTCACTGACCCACGCCGCAAAAGAGAAAGCCGACCTTTTAGGCTCCCTTTTTGCGTCCAACTCGACTCTTTATGACGGCGGAACACACCGCCGACCATCCCGCGGTGTGAGTGCTCCATGGCGAATGTGCGGCTTACACAGCGCTCTTTTCGCAAAGCACTCTTCTCCCTGGAAGTCAGCAAATCGAGTGGGCCTGATGGAGTCCTTCCCATTGTGCTGAAGACGTGTGCTCCGGAGTTGGCACTGGTTTTAATGCGTCTTTTCCGGTACTCCTATTCCCAAGACGCAGTCCCGAATTCATGGACGACAGCTTTGGTCCACCCGGTCCATAAAAAAAGGTGACCGCTCAGACCCGTCCAACTACAGGCCTACCGCCATCACCTCCTTGTTCTCCAAAATAATGGAGTCTATTATAAACTACCAGCTCATGAGGTACTTTGAGGATCACCAGCTTATTAGTGACCGCCAATACGGTTTTCGTCGGGGTCGATCAACTGGTGATCTTCTGGTCTACCTGACTCATAGATGGGTGGAGGCAGTAGAGTCCAAGGACATAGCAAAGGTCTTCGATCGGGTCTGGCACAAAGCGCTTCTTTCGAAGCCTCCTTCCTATGGACTTCCCGAGAAATTGTGCAATTGGATCACCAGTTTCCTTGCTGATCGGAGATCGTAGTAGACGGTGCATGCTCTGAATACAAGCCTACTAAAGCTGGTGTTCCACAAGGCTGCGTGCTATCACCAACACTGTTTATTTTGTATATCAATGATATGTTGCAAGCTGGTAACATTCATTGCTATACAGGCGATAGCACTGGTGATGTGTCTGAAGTCGAGTTTTTGTTAAACAACGTCTCGGATTGGGGGCGACTAAATCTAGTCCAGTTTAATCCCCAGAAGACACAAGTTTGCGCATTTACCGCTTAAAGGAACCCCTTTTTCGTATCTCCTCAGTTTCAAGGCACTCCCCTCGCTGCCTCAGTTAGCATCGGAATCCTCGGCATTGACATATCGAATAGTGTGCAGTTTCGTGGTCAGCTGGAAAGGAAGGCCAAATTGGCTTCTAAAAAGCTTGGCGTGCTCAGCAGAGCGAGACAGTATTTCATGCCAGCACATCGCTTGCAACTTTACAAAGCGCAAGTTCGGCCTCACATGGAATACTGTTCTCATCTCTGGGCTGGGGCACCCCAGTGCCAGCTCCTTCCACTTGACAGCATCCAGCGCAGAGGGGTTTGAATCGTCGACGACCGAGTTCTTTCTGATCGGCTCGATACACTGGCACTGCGTACGGATGTTGCATTCCTTTTCATTTTCTATCGAATCTATTACGGGGAGTGCTCTGAGGAATTGTTCGGATTAATTCCAGCCCCTATAAAAAAACTGGTTGCTGTGACCTATAGACATCTACCTCTATCCTCGTTTGCGAATAAAATACAGTTTCATTGTCAGCCATGAGGTCTAAGAAAAAGGGTATCCGGTTCTTTACACTGATCAAACGAAACACAGCAGCATTAAGGTGCTATTTTACGCTGGTATCTCTGAAAGCCTTGTCCTACCCGGGTCGAGCCGACCCAATCGTGCTACAAATATACTATTAATATAGCTGTAGCATGGCTACAGCTATATTAATACTACGTATAATATTTATATTTTGGGTAGAGATCATCGTCGTAAACTTCGATTGTAGAAACCACACACTTAGGAAATTTTGTATCAGTATTTTCTTTGAGCTCTCCTATCCACTTTATACTCTGTAACGAGAATGGCAGCAGGAACACTCAAGAAATAGGAATAACATTATGATACTTTCTTCCCATTAAGAATATCTTCTATATATTCAGATTTTGGGATAAAATCATGTCCCCTGTGACACCCCTCCCCCCCACGGACCGTGCCTGGATACTCCACTAAAGACGGATCAAATTCGGTACAAACGACTTTCGGAGTTATCGGAGATCGACTTTCGGAGATCTGACTTACTTATAGAATAAAGGTGACAAACGAGCACATATTAACTACATGGACAACTTCCCAATATTTCCCCACATTATGGTGAAAAGTCTAAAATCGGTATCACTACGGCACTCACCCAAAGACGGCCAGTGGAAACAGAAACTTTTTATTCAACATAGATTATAAATAATACTTATTGAAAGTCACTCTTTTGTATGATTACCAGGAGATATGGTATATATGATATGGAGTGTAAGACGAAACTGTCACACATCTTTCAATTCTGGCCCATATTTAGTGACGTAATTATAGCGCGTCGCGGTATCTAAAAGATTATTGACTTTTATTATGTATGGCAGCATGGTTGTACCACATAAACGTCACTGTTGTTATTAATTTCAGCCAACAGTGATAATAATCGGCAAACAATTTGAGCACTTATGACGGTTACGCAGAACCCCCTCCGTTGATTTGTATAGATAAGCGCTCCCGCGCCTAATACGTACCTCAAAGACAAAGTATTATCGTTTTTCGAGTATACTCAAGTTGTTTGCCGGTAATAAGGGTTAATAACTCAGTTTCAAGAGAATGCCGCCCGCGTAGGTATCGACTATTTATGCCGTCGTCGCAAATATGGGCAATGTCACGAACTTGGGATTAAATAATTTTGTATATTATAATATTTATTATGATATTGAATAACATAATTTTTTATTACTACACAAGAAAAATTACATTTACGAGTGTTACATTGCCTAATATTTTCGTGACATTTTCTTTTTATACATGTTTTCAGTTTGAGATTGTTAAATTTAATTATGTATTATACTGCCGGTACGGATTAACAATTTTATCGAAAAAAAAAATTATGAGGGAAACATAATTTGAATTTAACTCTACTTAGTAACTCTTAAAACTATAACAGTAATGCAGCATTATAGATATTTTGTTTTTGAAAACGGTACTTAAAATAAGTTAAATAAGTACTATAAAACACGCTCGCTTCAACCGCGTACAGACTTAGTGGTGTACGCTGGCACAAGGTCGTGCCGCCCACTGCCCCACATGGCCCCCGCCGTTGCTCTGTACAAGCACATTCGTTTCACAACTGTTAGTTTATAGATTTATTAATACACAAAACAATGACTCAGTGGTTTGTTCTTTAATTTTTTTTTTGTAATTTTTATACCCTTTTTTAATTTTAATTTTTTCTAATTAAATTAAATTTATAACTAATATTACAGAACGAAACATTAACCGTTACATTTTTCTGACAATTTGACTTCCCCACTATGGAATCTGTTAAATAAGTGTTGCACTTCATTCCAAAGTGGTGCAGTCTTTGTGGTAGAAAAAGTCGTGGATGTCCTCATCGTATAGCATGTGTGATGTGTGACGTGTGTTGCGTGCGCAGTTCGTCCGCGGACGAGGCGGTGAAGGGAGTGGGGCGCGTGGAGGGCGTGAGCGCGGCGGCGCACGAGGTGGCGGGCAGCACGGCGCAGCTGGTGGCGGCGTCGCGCGCGCGCGCCCCGCCCGCCGCGCCCGCGCTCGCGCGCCTCGCCGCCGCCTCGCGCCACGTGGCCGCCGCCGCCGGCGCCGTGCTGGCGGCCGCGCGCCACGCCGCAGACCTCGCGCGCGACACAGGTAACGCTCGCGCCACATGGCCGCCGCCGCCGGCGCCGTGCTGGCGGCCGCGCGCCACGCCGCAGACCTCGCGCGCGACACAGGTAACGCTCGCGCCACATGGCCGCCGCCGCCGGCGCCGTGCTGGCGGCCGCGCGCCACGCCGCAGACCTCGCGCGCGACACAGGTAACGCTCGCGCCACATGGCCGCCGCCGCCGGCGCCGTGCTGGCGGCCGCGCGCCACGCCGCAGACCTCGCGCGCGACACAGGTAACGCTCGCGCCACATGGCCGCCGCCGCCGGCGCCGTGCTGGCGGCCGCGCGCCACGCCGCAGACCTCGCGCGCGACACATGTAACGCTCGCGCCACATGGCCGCCGCCGCCGGCGCCGTGCTGGCGGCCGCGCGCCACGCCGCAGACCTCGCGCGCGACACAGGTAACGCTCGCGCCACATGGCCGCCGCCGCCGGCGCCGTGCTGGCGGCCGCGCGCCACGCCGCAGACCTCGCGCGCGACACAGGTAACGCTCGCGCCACATGGCCGCCGCCGCCGGCGCCGTGCTGGCGGCCGCGCGCCACGCCGCAGACCTCGCGCGCGACACAGGTAACGCTCGCGCCACATGGCCGCCGCCGCCGGCGCCGTGCTGGCGGCCGCGCGCCACGCCGCAGACCTCGCGCGCGACACAGGTAACACTCGCGTCCGACAGACGCATCATTGTTGGAGCCACACACGTAAGTGTGAGTAACGATCCAAGAGCGAGTCTTATCTGACACTATTCCGAAGATATCCCAGACGTCAGTCTGAGCGAGATTAGAATGGCTCTCCAGCACCTTAAAAACGGCAAGGGCCCAGGCGAAGTTGGAATTACAGCAGAGCTTCTGAAAGCGGGTGGATGACCGGTACTTGAAGTCCTTCAGAAGCTTTTTAATTCCGACCTCCATGGTGGCGTGGATTTACACCGGAGGCGTGGAGCAGAAATGCGGTGGTCTTGTTCTTCAAGAAAGGTGACAACGCTCTCTTGAAGAACATAGGCCGATTTCCCTTTTGATCCGCGTCTACGTGCTGTTTTCGAGAGTCATTACGAATCGTCTCACGCGCAGACTTGACGACTTCCAGCCTCCCGAACAAGTCGGTTTCCGAAAAGACTTTAGCACCATAGACCACATACATACCCTGCGGCATATTGTACAGAAGTCCGAGAAGTACAATTTGCCACTATGTCTGGCGTATGTGGACTATGAGAAAGCCTTTGATTCCGTCGAAATTTGGGCGGTGCTGCAGTCCCTTCAGCGGTGCCAAGTTGACTGTCGGTATATCGAAGTGCTGAAGTGGTTGTACAGTAAGGCTACGATGGCTATCCGAGTACAGAACCAGAACAAAACCTATCCAATTGTAGAGAGGTGTAAGACAGGTTGACGTTATATCCCCGAAACTCTTCACCGCTGCATTGGAAGACGTTTTCAAGCTTCTGGACTGGAAAGGATACGGTATTAACATCAATGGCGAGTACATCACTCACCTTCGATTTGCCGACGATATAGTCCTTATGGCAGAATCGCTGGAGGACCTAAGCACTATGCTCAATGACCTCAATAGTGTTTCCCAACGGATAGGTCTTAAGATGAACATGGACAAAACAAAGATCATCTTTAATGTCCATGTCACACCTATGCCGGTAGTTGTTGGGAGCACTAAGCTCGAAGTTGTTGACGAGTATGTTTACCTGGGACAAATAGTCCGATTAGGTAAGTCCAACTTCGACCGAGAGGTCAATCAACGGATTCAACTCGGTTGGGCATCGTTCAGGAAATTATGGCACATCTTGTCAGGTATACCTCAAAACTTAAAAACGAGACTGTACAACCAGTGCGTGTTGCCAGTGATGACCTATGGAACTGAGATGTGTTTCTTCACTGCTGGCCGGATGAGGAAGCTCAAGGTCGCTCAGTGAGCTATGGAGAGGGCTATGCTCGGAGTTTCTCTGCGTGATAATCTTAGAAATGAGGATATTCGCAGTAGAACCAGAGTGACCGACGTTGCCCAACGGATTAGTAGGCCGAAGTGGCAGTGGGCCGGCCATATAGCTCGAAGAACCGACATCCGATGGGTAAAAAGTTTCTCGAGTGACGGCCTCGTACCGGCAGACGAAGTGCGTCCCCCCCCCCCCCCCACTAGATGGAGTGACGACCTGGTAAGATATGCAGAAAGTCGAAGGATGCAGGTGGCTCAGGACCGTGCTTACAAAGCATTCCTTGGGGGAGGCCTATGTTAAGCAGTGGACTTGTGAAGGGCTGTAATGATGATAATTAGTACGACTGCTATCGTAAAGGGCTGGATATAAAGGCACCAAGTTAATTATTGTTCCTCTTCTGAATCAGATAATTTCATCTTTTTGTTGCAAATTTACTTGTCGCGTCGCGTACCGCGGCGGCGGGGCGACACCGCCGCGCAGCAGTGCTGCCGCTGCATTGTTGCCGCGGCATTGTTGTGGAGCTCGGAACGTCATATCATATAAACCCTATAGAGAATATATGGCGACCAGTAGGTAGTGCTGCGGTAGCACTGCTGCGTGCAGCAGAGTTCGGAATCATACCTTAAGAGGTCATCAAAACGTAGCCAGTGGCCCTCCACTACTGCCTCCCTAGGCAACGGTATCTACGCAAGACTCATGTCCTTGTATAACCTCCAGTGGAGCTCCTTTTCCTTCCATACGGTCTCCCGGTCGGAAATGCTCTGTATTGCTCATTCCATTGCTCGTTGATTAAGGATAGAAGAGGTAAGCCCTTTATCAAAATAAATGACGTCCTTATAGAATGGATCATCCGATCTCGTCAGGAAGTAATTACGGAGACTACACACTTTGCTATTATGCATAGTAATCGCGCTTGAAAAGCCGCGTCTACCATGTTTCCTCGGCAAGTACATCCTCATTACTGACGATCTCGGGTGATGCATATATGTATATATCTAATAAGAGAAATATCGAACATTCTCGATCAATCCGATTAATTCAAACATTCACTCAATGGGAAAGTAGTAGAACACTCGCGATTAAGAACATGCCTAAAGGTTAAAAGCTCTATAGAAGACATAAAATACGTCTTGCTTGCATAATCTTAATTTAAGCGTTGTCTATTCTTAGACGGAGATTATACGCTCAATCAGGCGTCAGTTCAGTCTGTGACCTTGATCACGTATAGACTGATGGCTGAATGATGGATAGACGGGCGGTATTAGACGGTAAGTCAGAGTGACGATCAGTCCAACCGAAAATTTCTACGCGATAACACGCATACGCATTAGGTATAGATTTTAACAAGAAAAAATTAAAGAATTCACGGCGATAGTTGGATCTTAGGGTATTAATTTTCGTTTTCACGTCTTCTACATTAGCTTGGCGTCTTATTTTTTCAAAATTACTAATAGTTTCTGCAGTGCCTCGTTTCTCTTACATTTATTCACATGTTGTGGTTATTCGTTTTATCCCATAGAATAGGTAAAACTTCTAAAGTGACGGCTCCGTGGCGCAGTGGCTTAGCAATGAGTTGCAGGGCTGGGGGCCGTGGGTATGAATCCCGCACGGAACAAGTATTTGTATGACCTGCAAATAATAGTTCCGGGTCTGGATATTTGTCCTTGTGCAATTTATATTTGTAAACTGCCTCCACGGTACAGGATAAAATCCTAGTGTAGGGGTAACGTTTTTAAAAGAAGTTGCAATAAATTATTTCTCCGGGGCTAATGATAGAGAAGGGGACGTCAGGGTTGGTGTAGGAGTCGGCGCACGCGGTGACATGGCGTGCGACTCCATCGCTGTCTAAGCGGTGACTGACTTCAGACTGATAGCTACGAAACACACGTTCAGTCTGGCATCAGTCTAACCAGACAAACAAAAATTATTAAAATATTTAAATAATAATCATTCTGGACCATCAATCCATCAGTCTACGCGTATACAGTCAGTTTCCCGTCATTCTGACGTCAATCATGGATTGAACTGACGGCAGATTGAGCGTGTAACCTCCGTATTACGCCCACGCATTTTATTAAGTTCACAGAGGATATTGTTTATTATTATTCAGTTGTAAATTTCACTGTAATGCCTAACTTCGGGAACATTCTCGCGCAACTTAATTTAACAGGCAAGTGGCCGTCATTACGGTATATTAATATATAAATTAAATTCACAGAGGCCCTTGACACGTCTACTTTGACACTAACGGCGACGAGACGCTTAGAGATGGAGAGCAAAGTGCGCACTCTCGAACTGGAGACCGCATTAGAAACCGAGAGGGTGCGCCTTTCAGAGCTCAGGAAACGACATTATCAACTCGCGCAGCTTGAAGAGGTAAAATTTAATATTATTAGTTCTTATCACTATTTCAGCTTCAGCTACAGATAATGAAGACTACCAATACGCCTAGTAATGCAAATGGGTAACTGGTAGGAATACTGGTGCAAAATGACACTAGCATCATTATTACACGGCGTACGTATATCGCACCTACGCAAAGGCTCTTGTAGCGAAAAGGTGGTGATCTTTAGGTGCTGGTGGTGCGGAGAGCGGTAAAGAGTTCTGCCCACTTACCCAAGCTCTTTTGCGCGGGGACAAGTCTTATAGCTCAGGTCTTATAGGTCAGTCTATAGGTAAATTATTTGTGAAATGTAAAACTTTATTCGAAAAAATCTGACGTCTTGGTAGGTATGGTACAACCCGTCAAGCAAATACACGGACGGGTCTCAGCGCCAATGTCCTCTATTTGTCCTTAGTTGGGTAAGCAGCTCGTCTGACAACCATTCGGACTATGACCAAAGTAATAACTTGTAATAATGACTTGGTCAGATATCTACACCCGAGTCTAGTAGGTCACCTTGCATAAGCCAACCAAATAACCATGAAACGCCTTCCTGAATAGTCGTAATTTTGGTCGTTTTTCGTATCTACAGCTTCATCATCATCATTACAGCTTATCAAAAGTCCACTGCTGGATATGGGCCTCACCCATAGATACCGGTACCGATACGGGTACCGGAGAGACAACCGCAGTTTTTTTTTATTATTTTCAGTTCTTATGTACACGTAAATTTGTATCAAACATACGTATTTCGTTACTTTGTATAATGTGTAAAGAAAGCAACATATTTTTTTATTATTTCTATGGACACATCAAAAGGTTTTTATTCATTTACAGAATGGCAACATGACAAATGGCAAAGAATAATAGAAAATCAAAGCAAAACTTGACTCACATGAATGGACCTAATGGGTATAATGTACGTACACAAAACAGTAATATGTAATTAATTTTATACGTGTCAAAATTTTATTATTTTCTTGCATTTACTTTGTATCAAATGTACAACGAAGTGTTCTGAACATAAAAACATGTCAAAACCCAATGGTTTACTCAATAGTAAGAAAGAGAATAATCGGCATATGTGAAAACGCCGTAATACCCTATTCTTTTATTGGTTTTAAAAATAAAAAATACATATTTAATTTTGCTGCTCTAAACCAAGTCTCAAGCCGTAATTTAAAATGTTAATATGTATATATCACTCAATCACAAATAGGTACATAACTAGTACTATTGGCATAGAATGGTAAATGCGAGTAATTCTATATGTAACTTAAAGTTTGACCCGATGTCTTTATCGTTATAATAATTTATTGTTGTTACAAATAGCTCACTCTGCTTCACACTGAAATAGCTCCACACTTTTGTATATGTCAAATTTGTATTATAAGATGTTTTCTACAACAAAAAATACTGTGTATCAGAATGTTCAGCGTTAATTGTGTATTTATGGTAATATTTTGTGTTTGTGTATACAATAATTAGAGCAGGTTTCCAACCTCATTCCAAAGCACTGTTCTCATATCAATAAATTTACTAGTTATTGTCTTCCTCGCCTGTAAGATTAAAATGTAAAACGGACACAGTTTTTATGTAAGTTGAGTAACTTGTGATGGTGTCGTTCATGTAATAGAGACATTATGGAGTTAATATAATGTTCCTGCCATTGTTACACTTTGGTATTTAGTGTGTCAGATTGTGCTGACGCTTGGATTATTACTATACTATACAAGGCCGGTAAAATAAGATAAAGAACCATCGATCAGTAATAACCAACTAGATACACAATCCCATACAAAAATGCTCTAAGAACTGTCGCCAATTGTTTTGACGTAATTTTTGTTGAAATAAATATACATTAATGTAAATTCAACCTTAAATGCATTGGCTAAAATTGTATTCACAAAGCTACGTACAAAAAGCAATAAATTTTTATAACCGATACTCGCTGGTCCTACATGTATCAAAACAAATTCAACCTTACATGCATGTTTTCAAGTTAGAATTACAAAGTGCCATAAAAAGCAATCAAATTTTAAGATCGAGGCTCGTCGCTTGGACAAAGAATGAATTTTATTATGACTTAATTTAAAAAATGTTTTTACGATGATTTCTTCACAAAATATCAGTATCTACAATATAATGATAATATTAATACTTACGGAAAATATGAAATTTCATCCTTTTTTAGCGTCCTGGCTGATGCGTTATGGATGTGATTTTTACACTTTTTAAACGAGCACTGAGGCATGTTTACCATCAGAGCATTCGAATGCTACTAGATTAAAAGTGCACCCGAATGTTCGAGTGGGCGCTCATTCGGTAAGGACATTTTTTGTCACTGATTGTGTATCTAGTTTTTTATTAGTTATTAATGATACTTACTTAAAATTGTATAGCTGCATTGACACTTTGTTTTTTTTTTTTATAAACAAAATTTCATATAAGTACTTATAAATTTTCTAAATAACGATCCAACGCTAACTCACCGCTCGCCCATAGACTTGAACTTTTTTTTTTCTAGTTTCGTTAGTCATACTTAATATTATAATGAAAGTCAGGTTTTTTATTTTTATTTTCTAAATGGTATGCTTCACCTTAATTTATTAATTTTATTATAAAATATTGTATATCATTTTCAAAGTGTAGAAATAGCACTAGATTGTGTCGTACACTAAATAGGCATGGTAGATTTGTGTGGTGTCGGTAAAAATTATAAATAAAACGTGTCCGAAAACTCGCAGTCTGAAAAGGCCTGAATCCATTAAAGCCAACTGGCTTACAGCACTTATATCACAAAAAATAAATAGACTGCAACATGTCAGTAGAAATCAGCCGAAATAATAGCAAATTACGTCCTACCGATATAATACTAATATGTACTATATGACAAGACATTAAGCTTTAAGCAATAAGACTAAGATATGTAAGGAATCAGGAATTTTATATTGTAGCCTTTATGTATAGACATTTTATATTATCACCTGTTTTATTTTTGTTGTTTAATTATATACAATATTCGTTAGTTGTAAAAACCCTTCCTATGTGTGTAAAATTATTTTCTTTAAAATCACTAATCTGACCTGTGTTACAGTAAAACATATAATGAAGTGTAATAGATAAATAATATTTTCTATTTTATTAAACACCTAAAAGCTCATTTTTGTAATATTTATTATGTATTTTATTGACATAAATAAATGATGTGTCATATTATATATATTTAATTTGTAAACACCTAAAACTACAAACACATACATGAGGCGAACTTATTTAGCGAAATCTCCAAAGCTGTAATAACACAAACTGTTACGGCCCCCAGCTGCCCCTGTAAAGGTCGCCTTGGCTAGGGCCCATAGTAGCCTCCTCGACGGGCAGCCGAGGGTTCGGGCCCAAATGGCCTTATGGACAATTGACCTATCATACTACACAATAGGGAGAAGGCTAGGTAAATAAATAGTACGTACCTGGATCCGAAGCTAAGACCGCACCAAGGCTCGGTCAGGCCGTAGGTAGTTGTAGGTGCATGTAAAGTGGTGTTTAGTGGTGTGTATATTTATGTGACCTGGCCCAGCTGAGGTGACCGGGCAGCGGCCTGGTCCCATGCTGCCCCACAATGCTGCATCACTCCATCAGGCGTCACCAAGTGACAACTTCTTTCTTCATGTCACTGTTTCAGTGTATCAACTTTATTGTACATTTAACTAACTTCAACTCTACTAATTCAACGTTCATCGTAAAATCAAACACGTGATACCCGACACAAGTATCGAACAGTAGTTCAAAGTTCAATATTCAAGATTCCGGATTCATTATCACCAAATTACAAATAGGGAACTAACGCGATCTCTTCACGAGTCACAAAGTTCAGCGTTACAAACAACAACTAAATTCCTTCGTACTATATTAAATACTACGCCGCAATAAGAATTCAAAATCAACCTAGCGTATCTCTACTCGGCGCGCGCGCAAGATTCCACGTCACACAAGCAAGTTAAATATTGCAAAATTCACTTCAACACGCAATCGCTATATAATTGGCGCAATTACTTTCAAACGAAATTACTTTAATCAGTCAAATTCCATACAAGCCTCTTGTCACGACCGTACAACTTAGACAACCTAATCCGAGGCGGTCCTAACGAACCACAAATTAAATAGCGAACAAATACTAAAAATCTAGACCACAAAAACCCAAACTGGTCGCGCGAAAAACCGCTGCAGCGGTCACTACAAAATACGTGAACTGACCGCAGCGCTGCTCTCAAGCTACTGTTTTCGCCCACGAGCGCCAAACGCTGGGAAGCTGCATACCGATGCCCCCTCCGCGCGACGCGACACCTATGACACTTAACACCATCGGGCGATTCGCTAAGTCGAAGGCGATTGGATGCCGTCTCAAATGACCATAGTTAGCCTAAACACAAACGAATATGTAACACGCAACAGCATACTCAAAATAAGAAACACGAAGGTTTAGTTCGCAAGAATGAAAGACGCCTTTAGTGAGATCGCACACCAGAGATAAATTTGTATTACAATAATTGTAGCGCCACATTTATCGTCCGCGTATATTTGTATGTAAACCCGTACATTAAGGATACAGTTATAGTAGGTGCAGTTTGTGGGGAGACATTTGTCACGCCACACGAATTCAACATCGAACATGATCGTTTTATGTCGCGCCATGCTTTACAAAATGAAAGACAACATAGAATTTTACTTTGAGTTTATTGCAGAGGTTGAAAAAACCCTATTTTATATAATCACACGCTCACTGAGTATATCAACAGACGGATTACAGAAATGATATCGACTAAGATCGGCGAAAATTTCATTGAAAGGGGTAAGTACCTATACCGTGTAATTATTTTGCCAGTGCACTAATCCGTATGGTTTTATGAAGTAAATACACAAATATTCTCGAAATTCTGTAGCATCGCTATTGGGTCTCCCAAGATTTATGTTATTGGTATTGGCGGTAATCAACACTAGGTATATTTCCGTGATCGGGACTTAATATTATTTTATCATTGTTTTAATATGTTATGTAAAACACAAGTAGCTTTAACAATTGTGACTGCTTTCTCGACTGAACATGAAATAGGAGTTTCAAAAACTCGAAACTTAGATACTATCATACCGAACGTTTTAAATAATAATATTTTAAATATATCTAAACTTCTTATACCTATTCTTCTTTGAAGAAGAATTCGGACGATCATTTCCTTATTATTTTGCAGCTGACGAAGGATTTCCGTTGTGTATCTTTTTTTTTATAGGATAAGGGTGACAAACGAGCACACAGTCCACCTGATGGTAAGTGGTTGCTGCGGCCCATAGACATCTACATCTATCCTCTGTTACAAATCAAAATTTAGATGCGTTGTCACCCGTGAGGACTAAGATGGAATGCCTCATTTCCAGTAAAAAGGACCTCCGGCCGCCTGCACTCACCAAGCGAAACGCAGAGGTAAACCTCTACTTCACGCTGGTTTTCTGTGAGGTCGTGGTACTACCCCGGTTCGAGACGGCCCATCCGTGCGACAGCAAAAGCTGCCGCAAAATTTTTTATTTTATATTATTCTAAGCCAGCGCTTATCTACAATCTCACCTGATGGTAAGTGGTGATGTAGCCTAAGATGGTGAAGCGCACTGACTTAACAAAAGCCTATTCACTCTTGCCTTGAAGACACCCACATTATACTCGGATGGAAACACAGATGCTGGCAACTTATTCCACTCCTTTGCTGTACGTATGGTGAACGACTTAGCGAAACGTTTGGTTAGAATGCGTGGTAAGTCAACAACGAAAGGGTGGAGACTGGCCGAACGTCTGGTCGTTCAATGGTGGAAGGGAGAGG